CTGGCATCCCGCGCCGCGATGCAGTGGTAGACGGCGCCGTCGGCGGCGCGGCGCACGGGGCCGTGGATGCGCGCCTCGTCGATGCGCGTGGCCGCCGTGACGCAGACGGCGCTGGCCGGCACGTGGCACGTGGCGGCGGCGGTATACATGCGGTAAAAGTGCTCCTCTTCGCGGTCCAGGTCGGACGCGGGCGGTGTCCGCCGCAGCCGCAGCACCGGCGCGCCGTCTTGGTCGTTGTCGTCCGGATGCAGCTCGCACGGTCGCGGCGCGTGGCAGAGATGCAGCTGCACGGAGCAGTCCTGCGGCGGCGGCCGGGGCGCACGGCAGAGCGCGAGCAGCTCCGGCTTGGCGAGGCGATGGAGCGCCTCCTGGATCTGGCTCTGGCCGCGCGAGAAGTGCCACGTCCCGGTGTTGGCCTGCAGCACGAGCTGCACCAGCGCGTTGCAGGTCTTCGCGAAGCAAGGGGCTACTGCTGCCGCCGTCGTCTTTCGCACGGGGAAGACGGACAGGCAAAAGGGCCGGGTGTTTAGCGCGAATGTAATGTCAACGCGGTTCCCGATGATTTCCGCTTGGAGGATCTGCAACTGTTGCGCCATGGCGGATGGCGCTCGCAAAGGTGTTGGATCAGGTTCGGTTGGATGATTTGCGATACAACCGTGAGTAGTATTTGGGCATGGCTTCTGTTTTATATCTAGCATGTTTAACACACTGCTACAGCTAGTATAGGGACTCGCAACTCATGCCCTTTCGAAGAGGTGACGCAGCGGCACACTGCGGACCGCCGTACGTTGTGCAAAGACCAACTGCAGCTTACCGAGCTGTACAAGACCAAGAGCCCAAATCTGTGTGCCCTCAGCATCTTTCATCTTGTACGGCGGCATATGATGCGAGCTCTGGTCACCAACAACACTCAAAACGACGCCAACGCGCAAACTTCCGACAAACTTCCATTGCTACCTACTCTACTACATCCCCCCCAACCCATACTCGCCACGGAGCAGTTCGGCCGCGATCCGATCATTCAGAATCTTGCCCTCGCCGCAGTCAGCGAAGCCGTCCATGAGCCAGGGGCGGGAAAAGGCGTCGACGACGACGGCGTCGAGCAGCGCGTGGCCCCTGTGGTCAGCGGCGAAGCTCCCGCCCCAGCCGATGCCCATGTCGGCGAGCCAATCGACGGTGCGGCAGATGCGGAGCACCCATTCCCGGACCACGCCGGGCGGCGCGGCGGCCGTGCACGCCCGCAGCGGCACCAGCTTCGGCAGCTCGTCCAGCAGCATGCCCACCGGCAGGCGACCGCCGCCGGCGCCGGCGCCGAACTCGTGAACGAGGCTGGCCCGCAGCGTCGGCACGCACACGGCCTGCCGCGCCTCGGCCGTCAGACCGCGGCACGCCTGCGCGACCAGCTCCAGCTGCTGGATCTGGTAGGCCATGGCGCGGTGGCTCCCGTCGGCGGCGGCGCGCGCGCCGAGCTCGCGCAGGCACACAAACGTGTACGTGTGCGCGCCGCCGCCGCCGCCCGCGTACGGCTGGTGGAGACCCGGCACGTCGGCCGTGATGGTGCCGCTGACGCGGTTGCGGCCGCACCGCACCGGCGCGACCTTGAGGTGCGCCGTGGAGAGCGCCGGCAGCGCGCGCGGGAGCAGCAGCGCCTGCAGGTCCTTGGCCGACGGCGCGTGCTCGGGCCACGCCTCGTCGCGGACGGCGCAGGCCTGGCCGCCGCCGCGCCGGTGATCCTCGGTCAGCAGAAACGGCTGCCGGCCCATGCTCAGGAACCACTCGAGCGGGTAGCTGCCGAGCCAGTCCATCGGCGGCGCCGGCAGCGGCGTCGCGTCCAGCATCACGTCGCGCAGCAGCTCCTCCATCTGGCTCGCCACGGGGATGTACGGCCCGGCCATGTAGAACCGGCTCTTGCACGCGAGCACCTGCGCCAGCGCGTACAGCCGCTCGCGGAGCGCCTCGTACCCGCTGCTGCTGCTGCTGCTAGGATGCGCTTGCGGAGGAGCGGCGGTCGCGGAAATCGTGATTTGCGCGGGCTTGCCGCAAAAGTCGAAAAAGATGACGGCCGCGAGGGGGTCACACTGGGCGGAAAAGACTCGCACCGGCACCTGCACCTGCAGCGGAATGTCATCGTAGCTCACGTCCATGGTGCGTGGAGGGAAAGTGGGAGCGAAGATATATACGGGGAAGTATACGACTGTGGTTATCCGGTGAGAGGGCTATTTAAACCAAAATGTGTACGACATCAAGGCAATATTATTCAGAGACGCCTCGTAGGACCATTTTCTTTGGCAGTACCGGATGACTTCTTTGGTACAACGAATATATCGCGAAATTGCACTGAATCATGCTCTGATCCAATGTTTACGGGTCTATTCCTTACACAGTTTCAGGTATTATACGTGCAACGCTCCATTTGAAAATCACACGGTGCTACGCAGTGAATAGGTATTGGGCAGGGCCTACCATCACTACTAAGCGCCCAGAGGCTCAACTCGTATCACTTCAACGGTCACACGCAAAGTCTAGAAAGGAAATGTATCGCAATGCCTCCACCCGGAAGAGTTTGAGGATGCGCACAAAAAATACCTTGGGGTCATGCGACGTGGCGACTGGGCAGCAGACCAGTGAGATTTCTGAGATTTTGACTGAGATTTTCGAAACGTCTAGAAATGAAAGAGGAAGTTTAAAGTATCTAGAACAAAATTTTCTGAAACTTCTAAAATAGATGTGCTAAGCTTCAAAAGGAACAATAAACATTATAAAAAGGGTAGAATGGAACAGAAACACTTAGCTACCTGTCGAAATGGAATTTCTGCCAACCTTCTCATTGTATGTGCTATTTTTCGAGCTTACCGAACAAAGAATATAAAAGAGCAACTTTTCAAAAGCTATCAATGGACACCACATGTGCACATCGAGTTTGCGATTGGCAGTCCTTCACCCCCCGACTCTGGCATATGGCTGATATTGGTGCTTCCCAAGACTGCACCTCCATCTCACCTGACAAAATGTCACCTCGCTCACTAATCGTCATCCAAACCTCCAACTTGAGACAATCATCATTATTTCGACTTTTGGCTCAACTACAATGTTCTCGCCTCAAATTTGACGTCAACTTCCAATCAGAGTCATCCATCCAAACCTTCAGAGCAGACCTCCAACTTCAACAGAGCTCCCTTTATATACTGACTACTACTAGATCTAAGCTTGGAACCCTGGTGTCAAGCCAACGCAGCCAGCGTAGATGTGTACCAAAGAGGCCGTGTACGTTTTGCAAAAGCAAGTCGACGAAGAAAGTCTCAAACACGGGAGAAGCTCAGAATCGCAGGCAAAAGGAGATGAACCGCTCAATACAAGGTAAAAAGGGCGGCGACCCCCTAGACTTTCCAAGATGGATTTGAACATTGGAAGACTTGATCGCTTCCTTGCTTGCCTACTTTCACTACTATACTCAACTATACTCACAACTATGCTCAAAGCTATACTCCCTTCTATTCTCTTACGACCTCCAGTCCAACCTCGACCAAAACTCGTATCTTCTTGTTTAAAGGGACCACCCAGTGTCCTCCACCAATTCCAAACCTTCTCATCTTAAGCCTACCGCTGCAACCACGCGCTCGCCGCGCAGCAGGCGCGCGAGGAGGCCGCCAAGTGGGAGGACTAGTAGGACGTGGTATGGAACGAGCGCTGCGCCTGCCACGTCGCCGAATGCACCTGCTACAGGGGTATCGGCTACCGGCGTCTTCATGCACGGGCTACACGACGCTCGGCACAAAGTACCACCAGTCAGGAAGTGATGGTGTTTGCGCCAGCATGACTATCACTTGATAAACTCCATCTTTTCTGGTACTCGTCGATATCAGAATTTGGTACTCTGGACACGTGGTGTTTGCAGGAGCAAAACTGGTAGTGCTCCCAGCCGTCAACGTTTATAGAGTGGCCACATGTGCTCTCATTAGTCATATTTCATAAAATAATTATCTTTCATTCATGCTCTATTATACTCACTGACCTTGATACTTGAATTGTACAAAGTATCAGCGCTTCCGAGTTCGATGTCGTTAATTTGCTCTATATTTATTAACACTTCAATCTACCACCATCTCTCAGGAATTGCTCCTGGTGATTTTTCTCATTTTGTGTTTTCACACAGAATAGCGACAAGAAGAAACTGTAGCAAGGTTGTAACACTACTTCTATCTGATTCTGCTGCACATGACCCAATGCCATGGCTAGTTATTCAGCCTCACGTACCAACAACAGAGCAAAGCCAAGCAATAATGACGGGTAGCAACATGAGCATCTCATCTTCGGCATGGCAGCCATTAGGCACCAACGCATCACTTTCCAAGACATATACTTCAGGGTTCCGCTGACTGGCCGTCGCACAACACGCATCGCCTCACTTCCGCGGCCACTCTACGCTTCTCCATCCGCAGCCCGCCTCATATTCCAACCACCTATATCAACCACACATATGCCCATATTCTTACCGTCGACTTTCTTTCCACAAACAACTCCCACCGACACATCTTCTCCGCCACACATCATCGGCCGCCTTCCCCCCTAGCACACCCAACTCCTCGCCACCTCCCTACCCCTCCCACGCAGGTTCCTCAATGTCTACACCGACCGGTGGTCCCCCGCCATGGCCATCATCTCCCGCACAGCCGCCATGTCGCTCTGCATCGCTTCCTGGCCGCTTGTGGCCGGCCCAAAGTTGCGCAGGAGCCATGGTCTGCGGTGTCCGTCGATGTCGACGCTCTCCACAAGGCGGTGGCCGCGGCCGCCTTCGGGCACGCCCACGGCGCCGCCCCAGGCCATGCCGTATTCGTGCATCAGTGTCAGCGTGTCGCGGATGCGCGTCGCCCAGCGCCGCTGGCGGTCCCGCGGCGGGCGCAGATCGAGCCGCCGCAGCGCGGCCCAGCAGCGCGGCCTGTAGACGAGCTCGAGCAGCGCGCCGCCGACCACGTACGTTGCCGATTGGCCCGGTCGCGCCGCCACCGCCTCGTGGTACACGTACCCCATCAGCCGCGGCACGTACAGGTCGGCGCGGCGCGCCCGGGGCAGGCTTGTGAGGAGTGCCGTCGCGGCCGCCAGCCCGCTCAGGGTTGGTGTCAGTTCGGCGGCGCGCAGACCTGGGACGCTGACGTCCCGCGAGGCCAGACATGTGTACTCGAGGTCTTCGTGAGGGAGTACCACAGTCCCTTGGACAGTGGTGAGACTGACGGCAGTGACGGCAATGTCCACCTCGTCCGACGTCCAGGTCGGCAGGTCCCTGTTGAGGACGATTTGGTGTCGGGGCCTGCCGCCCGCCGCGGGCTCCGCCGGGCTGGCAATTTCCGCGAGGTAAGGAGTGTGCTCGGCCGACTGCGCGAGCTCAAAGGCGCACACGCCCTTATAGACGCACGAATCCAGACCCACGCGGCCGCTGCGGTCGTGGGTCGGCTCGCGGCCGCGATCCGCGAACGTGCGGAGCAACGGGGCAAGATGGTGCCGCAGCTCCCGCCGAATCTGCCGGACGGCCTCCCGGTTCCGTCGGACTTGCGAATGCGCCTCAAAGCGCTGTACGGCATCGATCAGCTTGCGACGCAGCCGCCGATACGGGCCGCGCGGGGGCACCTCGAAACGCGGCTCGACATCAATGGTAATGCCCTGTCCAAAGTAGTCGACATGTACGACTGTATGGAACACATTGAGAATGGTGATGCCGTCCCGGTCAAAGTCAGTTGCGGTCGTCATGGTGAGTCGGTGTCTTGATCGGAGGCTGGTGAATTTGGGTTTGGCTTCGGAATGGAAGCTTCTGGTCGCAATGTTGGCTGTGTCCAGATAGGCTGCGTATTGGCAGAGATAATGGCCATTCTGCCCGATGAGACGAAACGAACGGCGTTATATAGCAGAAAAGAGCAGCTCCAGGTACGTGATTCAGACCTCCAGGACACTGACGGCGTAGGTGACGATATGCAGAGGAGGAGGGTCAAGCATAATCATGGTGACTCTCAACTGGATGATGCTGTCGCCCAGCATGACGATGGGGTAGTGCGTCGCGCGCAGATGGGATTGACAAGTGCACAGGAAAGCTTGGTGGGTGGCACGGCAGCGTGGGACAGCGGTTGGATGGTAGAGTGACAGTAGGAAATTTAATGCTGTTTTTCCATGCTTGTAAGTTGTGCGGCAATCCAGTACATGTAATGCTGTAATCTCGTAGGTCAGGGCTACCTTGTATCGAATGACTGCCGTGACTGAAGCAAGAGCTGCTGCCATGTTGGCGGTGACGGAGGAGGTGGGCGGGGACAAACGGAGATGTGGTTGGGCAGCGGTACAAAATGGAAATCAATAGAACAAGACAGAATGAGAAGAAAAAGAGGAAGAAGAACAAGAAAAATACTACATTAAAAAGGAAGAAGATTTGATCTGTTGAAAGACCCATGAAATTCAGCCTACTATATCACGGATTAGCGTGTACCTATTTTGTGACGCTGGGGAGGCACCAAGGCTGTGTGTCATGATGGGTTCCATACCTGGGAATCTACCTAGGTACCTACCTACCTACCTAGGTAGATAGGTAGGTAATCATCATGGTATACTGCCGAGATGGCTCAGTACTTACTGGATGGGCATCACACCTACAAGTCAGTCGCCGTTTTTGTATTCGACTCGCTCTCTTTAATTGATTTCCGGTCGTGCCGAAAGGAGCTGATTCTTTCCATGACAATGCTTGACGGGATATTCATCGGCACCGTCTACAAAACAAGACAACTCTACGATTGAACCATGCTTGTAAGCAATAATCAATTTCATGCCCAGAGGGCTCCTTCGTAAAAAGTGATGATACAGTAATACATTTCTTGGCGCCACGGTGAACCAGCCTAATGGCGCGCAATTTCAAATAGCAATCCGGCACATGGGCCAGACAAGAAGCTCCAGCAAACAGGAGATGTCCTGTGGCCGTCGTCTACGACGAGCGGCCGCTCTCCGAGGAATCCGTCTTGGAGAGATCATCTCCATTCTCCTCCTCTTCGACGAGGGGACCGTGGACAGACTCCTCAAAGACAGGCTCACTGTCAATCACCTCGAACTTGGTGCGAAACTCTTTTCCGTGGTGGGAGATGGTGCTACTGTTGGAGCGGCGACGGGTATTGGTAAAAGTAAAGTCCTCGTCGGCAATGTCTTCATGAAGGGTGCCCCTGGTGGTGTGTTAGTGGTCATCTGAAGACTGAAATATGCCGACAAGCCGTTTGCATGCAACTGGATGGGTTGATGCAGCCATGGCCGATGACGTATATGAAGATGGGGATATGCATACCAGTTGCCCTTGCCAGCACCGTCCTTCTTGATCTTTTTGGGATCGACGTCGGCGTAGCCACTCTTGGCAAAGTAACGGGGAAGATGCTCAACGGGGAGAGCAGTGCCTTCGGCGATGCCCTTGTGATCACGGTCGTTGGCCTTGTGGGAGCGAGTCACTGGGAATTGTTAGTCCTCATGTTGGAGACTAGGTCATGGTGGGGGTAGTGACTTACTGATGGCGGTTGGTTTCAGAGGGATGTATCCGTGTAAATGCGATGGATCAAGGACAAGGGATAGCCAAACGTAAGGAATCGGCGGGGTAGAGATGGAGGAAATGTGTCAAGGAGATGAAGAGTGCGTTTGCAAGGACTAGAATTGGATAGTCAATGCGAGGTAGGGAGCTCAACAAAACACGGCAGTGATGCGAACTGAGGCGGCGATGTGTAGAGATGAGGATGGAGAAAAAGGGTCCAGTGGTCGGATAAGAGTCAATGTACAAGGCGCAGATGAAAGTGTTGATGCGATGATGAATTGAGATGAGATGGAGTGTGGATGGAAAAGATGAAGATGTCAAGACGGATGATGAAGATGAAGAGAGGAGGGGTCGAGATGGAAAGGAGGACTAATTATACTAAAGTGAGTGCACCGCAGAGGAGGAGACACAGCCTTGGTGAGTGCCAGAAGTGCCAGAGAAGGTGCCAGAGTGGTGCGGTCCAGGCTTGGTCCTGGTTGGAGTCAGAGCTGTCGTCACGCGAGCTTTGGTCTCCAAGACGAAGCGGGGGTTGGGAGAGGTAGAGAGCTAGCGGGGACCGGTATGAAGATGGGGCGATGCCAGTTCTCGCGGTACCTTGGAACCGTACATTGCTACATTGCTCCAAGGACAAGGGACCCCTTGGTAGGCTGGAAGCACACCGTGGGGTCCGCCCGGGAAAGAAAAAAGGTACCTGTCCCTGCGGTGACGATACCGTGCCTCCTCCAAGTCGCATCGCGTGACCTGACGCAACAAGCACCTGTCCACCCAAACGGAGTACATCCCAGCGACCGGGGGGGACCCAAAAAAGAGGGGAGGGGTGTTTTGCTCATTTGCCGCCAGCAGCGAATTCTTCTTCGTTTTCTTTTCATTCCTGTCATTATTCTCCAAATCATGCAATTCGTACTCTCTCCCCCCTCCTACTTGCAACTCTATCAATTGACCCCTAAAACGAACCCTTTCCCTCCCCCAACAACGACAAATCAGGTCCACTGCCAGGCTGCTTCCGGCGTGCCGCGCTATATTGCGGGGGTGGGCACCCGCCAAAACAAGAAAAGCGGGCATGTCGCACCGTGTGTTCTTGGTGTAGTCACTGTGGGATGCTTGCTGGCTTTCTTTGATGAAATGGCGGCGACGGGATTTTAAAACCTCGCTAATTTTCAATAAATTCACGACAAAGGAGATCAGGCACACCAGATGGAACTAGTCCCAACAACTCGCCCCAGCAACAGAATGGCTTGGACAACCTCGCCACGCAGTTCCGTTTGGCCCATCATCCCAACTAGGTACTGGTACACCGTCGTCGGCCCAGTGGAGCACAAACGACTTGCAAACGCGCCATCACATCACCGACTCCGGAGCTTCCCTTGGCGCTTGTCATTTCGTCATTGCCCACGCCCGCTTGCAACAACGCAATTCCATCAATTCGTAGTCACTACTCCAGGTAGGTAGTTATTTCGCCATGTTCGTTCATTCACCTCTCATTCACCTCTTCTTCCCCGTCTCCACAGATAGGGCCCGCTACAATAGCTTTCCCTCGTCGTGGCACCAACCCTCCTGCGTCTGACGTGTGTTTGTTGGCACCGCCGATGTCGCCATCTCCAGCAAACAGCTTTCGAGAAACATCCAACGCAATTATAGTACCAATTGATCCAGTACCTATGCCATTGATTTCTTTAGCGCCGTTGGATCAAACGCCTCGGTTCATCACAGCATGCAGCAACATCATGCTGTCATACGCCAGACTGGCTACTTACTGTATTTGTCCAGCACAGTACGCACAGTACATACTCCGTACCCGTAGAACAGTACAACAGACGCCGGCAGCACTCTAAATCAGCTCATCCACCTCACGAATACCAATTCTCCGAGCTCCGTGCCCAATTCCACTCTCCTCCTCTCGATTCCCACTTTATCGCCCATCACCGCTGACGTTGTGCTTCGCCGCAAAAGACACCGTCGCCTGCTCTGCCTGGCCCCTCTGCGAGTCATCGCCCGCCTCCGACTCGTCTCCTCCCAACAATCTGCCCATCTCTTCTCGGAGAATATGCAACAAGGCACATGACCAGACACACTTTAGTCTCGCTCAGATTCTCTTTTTCTCTCCCTCCGATTGCGCAACAATCTCAACAAGAGGAACGCGCGCTAACGACACCATGCCCACATGATCGCGAGACCCGCCTGCAAGGAGCCGCCAGTCGCGACTCCCGATCAGCCCTGCCCAAGACGATCCACTTCCGACCCTGGATTTCTGCAGACGATGATACATACATACATGACTACTACCGACTACTACCTAGGTACCTAGATACCTAAATTTCGGGTGCTGAGCTGTTTAATTGGGCCTTTGCAACCTGTTCATGCATGTCGGCGACTGCGGTGTTACGACTCCAGCTAGATTCCTCTTCCCCCATCTCCGTTGCCTTTGCGCTCAACGACGGCTCTCCGAGTCTCCGAGATCATGGCTAGTTACCTGGGTAGTTACACCATTTCTTACAAGCAAGGACCTTGGCTTCAAATCGCGCATCAATCACTTTCACACACAACTTTCAGACCGACACTTGATCCAGTGAATTTAGTAGCCCATTGCCCAACGCCAGTCCATCCAATCCTGTATCGACACTCAATTACATTTGTTCTCTTTTCTTTTCTCAGTGTCTCTTCCCCCACCTCTTGCTCCTGCGCCCTGTCTCTGGCTGTGACAGCTGCCGCTTCGAATAATACCCATAACGGCAATCAATAGAAATTGTGTGTAATATAGCAGTAAAATGCAACGCCCAATCTTCCTCCCCTTCGCTCCTTATCAATCTTTGTTCATACAGACTGTACTCGACCAACTTTTATCTCGCCCCCATTCTAGAAAACTCATTCTGGTACCGTAGCTTAAACCCATTACACAGGGCACGCATGTCGGGGTACTGGTATCCCTTGAGTTCGAATCCTTGTGGAATCACTCGGATCGGGATGCCAATCACGATAGCCGTCCGGCTGGCCTTGAAGCATAGCCAAAAGTACCCAGGGTGCTTCGTGTCGATGCAGAAAGCATAAGCCGACCGGTTGGGGTTTGCGTCAATGTATGTAGTGAGCCATTTTTCTGTTCCTTGTTAGCCCACCTGGTCTCCTCCACCGCCAAATGGGTAGCCAGCGACGGGGAATAGAAAAAAAAAGAAAAAGAAAAGAAAAAAAAAAGAAAAAAAAAGGAAAAAAGAAAAAAAAAACTTACCAGTTTCGCTGCGGGAGCGATTCTGATACTTGTCATGACGCATCATTTCATCCACCTTGCGAGCCATGGCCTTGACGTGGTCCACGATCAACTCGTCCAAGTCGCTGTACGTATATCGCCCTCCAATCCGCAGTAGCTTGCCCACCGAAAACTCATTTTCCTTTTGCATCTCCAATACATCAATATGCTGGTACACGTTGTCCGCAACCTTCCATGTAATGGCCAGGTGGTCGTTTCCTTTGGAGGATGGTCGGATGATAACTTCGCCAGGTGCTTGCGATCCCAGAAATTCCTCTGCCTGCAGCCCATTGAACGGCTTGAAGTTGGGGTGTTTGACAACGCGCTGTGTCCGTCCAGTAGTCTTGTCCTTCACTTTGAGCTCTTCCTTATCTGCTGCTTCTTGAGCATAGTCCCACCCGTCGCGGCCGTAATTGGTTGGCCGCTTGTAAGGAATTCGGAGCGAGTCCTCGCGCATCGAAAGCTTCACAGAGAACGCCTTGTAGTCCATTTCCAGAATCTTGGCCCGCGCTGTTTGGCCCACGCTGAGCACATCCTTGACCGAGGGCAGACTCGTCACTTCGTGGGCCTCCGCACGACCCTCAATGCCACAGTCGAGCTTGGCAATGGCAAAGTCATCCCTGGCCACGCGAATATTGACAGGTACAATCATGCCCTCACAAAGTGTTTGCTTGGTCTCACCGGTGAAAATGGTAAAAATTTCTGTTTGCGTCAGTGGCGCAAAGCTTCTTCGCAGCTCTTCGTACTCCGCCTGAAGTTCAGCACTGATGGCCTCCAGAGTGGCACGCTTTCGCTGGTTAAAGTTGCGCAGCAGCTGATCCGCATACTCGTCCAAAACCAGCTCATTGACTCTCTCCTGTTCGCCCTGCTTGAACAGCTTGCGTACAATGGCACCTGGGCCATTCTCGTCAATCTCAGCCTTGACGTCTTCCTCGTCAAGTTCCAGCGCATCTGCAGCCATCTTTCGACCAAGCTCGTAGTCTTCAGGATGAACACGAGTATTGTCCAGAGGATCCGAGGCGGGGTTTGTCGCGTCATAGTCAATGTACAAGAAACTGGCGCAGTTGTTCCACACGCGGGGACCAACCACAGGGAGCTTCCGGCTCTCAGGGTCGCCCACTAGTTCCTCTCTTGTGTTCACTGAGCCACCGTTGGCATTGATGGCCTTCATCACACTTGTTGCCTTGCGGGGGCCAAGACCAGCGATAAAGGGAAGCAGGTTCGCAGTGTACGTGTCGACCATGGCGTCGTTGATGTTCACACCGACCATATTGACCGTGTCCACCATTGCTGATTCCAGGTATTTGGCGAGCTTGTCCTGCGGTAGCAATTTCTGGCAAGGGTGAAAAGAAAGCGAGATCACATCCTTGCCCAGTGCGGCATATTCCTTCATCGGGTTCTGCATGTAACGCGCCAGAGCAACGCAGTATCTGGTGACAGGATTGAGCGAAGGATGCTCAGCGACGGCGCGAGGGCTGTCTTTGTATAATCTGGCCACCTCATCGTCCACAACCATGACCTCGAGCTGCTCAGTTCGGTAATCATTCGTCTCGGGGTCCTCGAATTCCGGACCCATGAGCGCCTTTTCGCTCACAAGGCTCTCTATGTCACGAACAAGCTTGTGAGTGTCGCAGGACCAACCGCAGACGGCAATAACATCAGGCCGGCGACGGTTGACCAACTCGACGAAGGCTTCACGCTGGCTCTCATCGCGGCCCAGGTTGCCAAATTTGCCCTGCTCCAACACGCGACCATCTTCAGGAACCCACGCCCAGCATATGGGGTCACGCGCAGGGTCCCCCATGCCGTTGGAGAGAGCGAGTACGCGCGGAGTCGTTCCCAGGATCATACCCTTCGGCTTGTATGGCGCCTGGTCCAGCTTCCTGTAGTAGTCTTGACGAATCATCTTGAGCACTTCGTCCTGGCAAAAGGTACGAATGACTTCCTTGATGTTCTTGGCAATGCCCTTTTCAAGCTTGGGATAGGCCAAATCCAAGACCTTCTTGCGCTCCTCTCGCCACTGCTCGGCGCGGTCACTAAAATTTTCTGACTCAAACTCCTGGTAGAGTTGTTTACGGAAGTCGAAGCGAGAAGGCATGACGAGCCTGATCTCGATGAGACCCTCCTCCTCGGCTTTCATCATCTTGAGAAAAGTGTCCGGCTGGTGGACAAGGTCGGCGATTGTTTGGTTTTGAAGATATTTGATCTCGTAGTATGGGTGTGTATCGTCAATTTTGCGGAGACCCTTCTCTGTGCGACGACAGCTAATCTCGGCAAGCTGGTAGTATGAGCCGCGGAAGTACTTTTTCATGCGAGGGCTGGCAGCCAGTTCCTCTGCGTACATTTGTCTCGCGGCATTGATGACCTGATCTCCTGTATTGAAGTTGTCGTCAATGAGGGTGTCTGCAAGATCCATAGGATATTGTGAGTCATCATCAGGCGTCACCTTTTTGCCCTGACGGAGAGCATTCTTCGCCAGCTGGTCGGCGGAGATGCCGTAGGCTTTGACAAAGTAGTAGGCCTTGCCATTACGCACGCGATCCAAAACATTACTCTTGGAGCCAGGTTTCTTGACTTGGGCATTGTTGCTGGCCATGACAGCCAGATCCTTGAGCTTGGGCCCGTACTGGAACTGGAGATAGTCTTGTAAGTCTTGCAGCTCCTCCATGGTAGTTGCCTCGGGAATCATGTCCTCGACCATCGGGTCGTCAACCTCGAGTGTACGAAGGTTCTCAAACGTCTTTTCGAGTGCATTCTTCTTTTCGATGAATGATCGGAACTTGATGTCGAGCTCGAGGATTCGCCAAAGATCGTCCTGGTTCAGCAGCTTGTCGGACTGAATCGAGTAGTCGGGGCCATCCGGATCGTCATGAGTTGACTTGCGAATCTTCTTGGAGTGGAGCAAATAGTCCTTGCGATGCTGGAAAACGAACGGAACTTCCACCTCGTCAACGACAAAGAATTCCAGAACCTTGCCAACGGCTTTGCCAAAAGGCGCCTGCAGTTCCTGGGAGAGGCCTTTTTTGGGCCACAGTTGATTGCTGATCCACTTGGCCTCGTCGCGAAATTGCTCAGCTGTGAGCTGCAAGTTCTTAAACTGCTTGCGCTCGAGCTGGAAACGTTCGGGCTCGTCGGTAAAGCGGATGAGGTTGTCTTCGTCGGTAAGAAGCTTTTCTTTGAGCTGCGAAGGCTCAAAAACGTCCTTGAGTTCAATGCCCTGTTCGTCTCGTTCGCGCTCCTCCTCCTCGTCCTCCATCTGCAGAGCCCAGTCGTAATCTTCGCCATTGCCAAATATGGCTTCCATGTCATCCAGGGCTTCTTTATCGAGACCAGTCGTGTCAACGATACCAGACACGCCGCGGTCCTTGGAGCGGGCGACCTCGACATCCTCTTGAGCTCGCTCTCGCTCGTCATCGTCCTCGGGGTAGTCGTCCTCGATAAAATCATCGAACTCATCGGCTTGGGCGCGAAAGTTGGGTCTGTATCCTCGTTGTTCGCCGGCTTCATCTTCTTCATCGTTGAAGATGTCCTCTAGGCCAGCCGGCCTGTTCTGCTCGCCGCCATCACCGCGGTGACCGCGCTTTAAACGCTTGAATTTGGACTGCGCTGTGTCAGCGGCACTGGGTGATCAGGAGGGGTCAATTTTCGTACCTGTGATTGTGATTTTGGCTGTTCGCCAAACTGTTCTCCTACGAGGTCGTAATCATCTTCGTCCAGTTGTTCTTCTTTTTCGCGATCGCGATGCTCGCGCTTTCTCTTGATGGGCCGATCCTCATCATCATCGCCACCGTCGTCATCGTCTTCATCTTCGACAATGAAGCCTTCGCGAATCTGGAGGAAGCTTTGTCAGTAGGTATAGCAGCACAGAACTGGTGCGCACGCACCTTGCGCGCTTCCTCCTCGTCATCGTCGTCCTCCTCTTCCTCGGAGGAATCGTCGAAGTCTCCCGGTCGATTGCTTTTGCGTTGGCCGCCGGTTCCCTCGTCAAAGGACTCGTCATCTTCCTCGTCATCGATCTCTGCCTCGGCAGAGATCAGATCGCGCATACTGCTGCTCATCTTGAAAGCCGATGTTTGCTACTTGAGAATGCTCCTGGTCTGGCGCGATTCGGGAGATGCGCGATTCGAGGAGGATGCGCGACTCAGGGAGGAATATCGCAGATGCAGGCCAGTGGGAGTGATGAATTATTCGACGAAGCTCCTCGTATGTTCCCTGCAAATCTCGATTTGCTGCGCGACCTCCTCCGTGCAACTTACAATTTTTTTTGGAGAGTGGTGGCTAGAGCTACTGGTGCCCGTGTCGCGCCTGCACGCAAGGGTGATGGTTGGCTAGGTGGAAATATCATGTTCCGGGTGCTTACGTAAGGTAGCTGCCAAACCAGACGAGTTGGTGGGATTTTGCATCGAACAAGAGATAAATTTAATTAGCGAGTCTATCGAGGCAGATAAAGGGCACCTGGGTATGACTTGGAATATTCCAAAAGGGGGGTAAGAAAAAAGACAATCGCTGTTTTCAAGAGCGTTGCCTGTCATGCTTCAAGAGAAAGATGCAGCACTTTTGTACGAAGGCTTTGACCCCGGCTAGCAATGCCATGTCCATTGTCCATTAGCATCACTTTGGGAAGTTGGCGCATAATTTGGATCGCTCAATGGTTGAAACATCTATCCCGGAAACGAAAAAAAAATTGTTTGTCATGGTGCACCTGTCCGAGGCTGGTACTACTGATCTTCGGACGAGCGCATCATGTAGGCCAGTGATGATGGCGCTTTGGCCTACATACCTAGATACGGAGATGCCGACGACAAAGGCTGGCTCCGCGATCCGGTTTGCTGGCATTTGTAGTCACGCGAAAGAATGAAGTCATACAAGGGCAATTAATATAGTAACCATTTTACTATCATAAATAACATTGTCAGGCACATGACAATGCTATGCGCCAGAGTCTGTAACACCAGAGTGGTGCAACGAGAGAGAGCCAGTAAAATGCCAGCGCGCCATGTGTTAGCATGGGTCAAGACTCAGGCCAGCACCACTTGGAAGCAACAGAGGAGGTTGGATGGCTGGATGCCCCTGGACAGTTCAGACTTGAGACTTGAGAAGGGTGTTGCGAATCTGGTGTGCCGCTCGAGCCCCGTAGCGTCCCCCGCTCTTGGGCCTGGCTTGGGTGTTTTGGGCGGTTAATAGTTGAAAGGTACTAACTGGCAAGTGTCGATGTACCTGCCTGACAGTTGAAGTCTTGGGTGTCTCTTTGCGAGTCGGTTAGGGCCGTTTAGGCTCTTCTTCCTGCAGCCACCTGCAGTAAGACTCAAGTAATTTCGAGTCATTGACCACACAATCGCGATACATGGCTGCTTGAAATTTATTGTGTGCTCAAACACTGCTTTATTGCGACTATCCCGGTGTCCATCAACCCGCCACCTGCCTAGGTGGTACCTACATAGAGGTAGGTAGGTACCTACCTAAATATCTGAATACCTACAGCTTAGTACCTCCTACCTACACCACACCTACTACCGAAATTGCTAAGGCATTCAATACTTTCCTCACCCCCACCACTCTCAACAGTGGCGGCCATACATCAACCACGCCGTCGAGCCCAACGTCAAATCATTTCCCACGCTCTCAAGATTCACCGAAATTGCCCGCAGCCTATTTCATGCCTGAGATTCGGTACTGTCATTGAATCTACCGACGCAACCTTTCGCCCGCGCCTTGCTTGTCTCTGCCCGTGCTCCCCTGTCACACTCCAAGCGCCTGCGACTTCCTCTACCCCACAGCTCAACCCGAGCCTCTCTCAACCGGCTACACCTATCCACCTCGACATTCCCCCCCTCGATACCTACGTCGTGTCCCACGTTTGCCAGGGTTTTGTCCTCAACACGGCCGCCGTCTGACTCGAGCTGGGAGATGAGCCTCGGACCCGTCTGAGCATTTGTTCTCTCCAACAACATACTCGATTTCGCATTTTCTCCCTCCTACACACCGTCCCTGCGCGCCACCCTCGCTCATCATGGCCGACCCGTTTGCCCCGCGCTCCATGAAGCGCAAAAACGTAAAGGGGCTTGCTCTTACTCCCGCCGCTCCGAAGCCACCACCTACCGCGGAAAACCGCCCAGATTTCGACGGCGCCGGTGATGGAACAAGCAGAGATGGTCAACTCGAGATCGGGATTGAATACAAGCTTGACCTGCGACCCGAGGACCTTGAGATTGTCAAGGAGCTCGGCTCCGGAAACGGTGGCACCGTGAGCAAGGTGAAGCACTTGACCACGGGCACCGTCATGGCTCGCAAGGTATGTCACTAGACTCGCTTTCAACATGTTGGCTCACAAACGTACAGGTTATCCATGTCGATGCCAAAAGAGATATGCGCAAACAAATCATCCGAGAACTCCAGATTATGCACAACTGTCACTCGGATTACATTGTCAACTTTTACGGCGCATTCCTCAACAGCAACAACGATGTCATTATGTGCATGGAGTACATGGACGTAGGGTGGGTTCTGCAAACTGGTTGCCTTTTTTTCTTGTCTGCACTTCTAATCACAGTACAGCTCTCTGGACCGCGTCTCCAAAGTCTTTGGTCCTGTTCGAGTCGACGTCCTCGGAAAGATCGCCGAAGCTACGCTCGGCGGCCTGACATACCTCTACACAAAACATCACATTATGCATCGCGATATCAAACCGTCAAACATTCTTGTCAACTCTCGAGGTTCCATCAAGCTCTGCGATTTTGGTGTCTCCGGAGAGCTCATCAATTCGATCGCTGATACCTTTGTCGGCACTTCAACATACATGGCCCCCGAAAGAATTCAAGGCGAACGATACACTGTCAAGTCGGATGTCTGGAGCTTTGGTCTTACCGTCATGGAACTTGCCATCGGCAAATTCCCTTTCGGCTCCAATGAGCCTACAGAGGAGGACTGCGCACCTGCTGGCATCCTCGACTTGCTGCAGCAGATTGTCCATGAGCCCGCCCCGAAGCTACCCAAGAGCGATGCTTTCCCTAGTATCCTCGAGGACATGATCCAAAAATGTCTATTCAAACAACCTGAGCGACGCCCTACCCCACAAGACCTCTTTGTAAGTACCCACGGATATTCTGTTGCCATCGCGCTTCTAACATATACAGGATCGCGATGCATTTGTGCAAGCCGCCAAGAGAACGCCTGTCGACCTTCGCGAATGGGCTGTGGGCATGATGGAGCGCGATAACCGTAAATCCCACCTAGCTCCTCAGCTGTCACCCTCGACACAGGACTTGCTCCGATCCAGCGACTCACCCACGTACAACAATGGGTCCGAGGGAAAGACACACACGCCAACGTCTGGTGAAATTCCCATCGGTGGGGCTGGCATCGCTACCCCGCGCGATTATGCGAATGGAGCCGGCAGATCCCCTTCGAGAAATGGCTACAACAATGCCAAACCACCAGCGTCTGCTCACCCTGGCTTAGGCCCTCGCTACGCATCCGAGTCTGGTCACATTCCTGGCGGCTATTCTGACACACGTGGTCCCGTCAGCGCCAATGCCGCTACATTCAGTCTTCCTGTCCGACCAGCTCCTCCATCGGGACCGCTGCCCCTCGCGCCAGCCCGACGGAATACCCCGGATGCTCTTCCACGAGAAAACCGCCGGGTGGCTACATTTGGCCTGCCTCCTAACCCAAGTTCTGGATACGGAGTATGAAAGGGCGCTAACCAAGCTGAATCTCATTTTTTTATAGTTTCATTTCCCACTCGCTCTTCTTGAATTTATATGCCAGTCGATTTGCGTTGGAGAATTATGTCCGCGAGCAGAGTCATCCTTCTTTCGTTCCCTCAAGCATTGTACGGCGCAGCACACATGACGATATCCCTCACGGAAAACTAGAGAGAAAACACTAAGCAGCGAAACAAATCAAGGAAAAAAACGGGGGGTGTTGCGTTGCGTTGCAGCGTTTGTTCTGTTCAGACATGGGCCACAAGGCAGTTATAGATAGAATGCACAGCCAGCCACCAATTCACCTCTTGCCCGGTGAAGCTATTTCCAATTGGACAGGCTGTGGTGCCATTGGATCCTGTTTCACGAAACAATGCTCTATTTTTATGCCAAAACATGCTTGGACGGAGCAATCTATATAATGTTAATCGATGCTGCGACCCTGGAACCCATTCTCCAAAATGTCTACGAGCTCGTCCAAACGACTGATGACGAGATCAGTATGTGCATGCTCCGCAAGCTCTCTATTGACGTCATTCACTAGCAGCACCGTTGCCGCGCCGGCCGTCCTGCCGGCCGTCATGTCGTCAACCGAATCTCCGACCATGATGAGCCCCGTCGCATCCGCATGCCCCCCTTCCCCTTGCCGCCGCAGCGCCCACTGCTCGGCAATGTGCAGGATGCCCGCAGGCGAGGGTTTCGGGGGCGAAAAGTCGCGGGTGACAATGGGCGCAAACGTCGTGTAGGCGAGAAACTTGCCGAGGAGGTGGTCGACGGGGACGTTGAAGTTGCGCGTACAGATGGCTTTCTGGACACCGCGGTCGTCGAGGTACCGCATGAGGACGTCGAGGCCGGGCTGCGGCGCCTGCTCGGCCATGGCGGTGCGCTCAATGGCCTGCACGGCGGCGTGGGCGGCGGGCTGCTCGGCCTCGGGCAGGGAGTTCATGTGGTCGATGATATCGACGGCCTTTGTGATGCCGAGGGCGGCGCGCATCTCTCCAAACATGTAGTTTTGGGGCTCACTAAACCAGAGTCAGAATTATGGATTCTATAGTATCAAGACCGTTTTGGAGCATGCGGGCGGTGCTGTCGGCGGATAACGCACCAGAGGGTCCCATCCATGTCAAAGACGATGCCCTGGAGCTTGGGCGCATCAGACGAGCTTCCAGTCTTGAGAGGCGCAAACCGCCTGGGCGAGTTGGATGTAGCCATGGCTGATGAGAATCGGCGTATGCAGACGCTGCTCATGAGAGAGGGTGTAATCGATGGGAGAACGTCGCGGTGTGCGCCTTTTATTCTGCAGCGAACGAGGTTACACCGGTACCGCCAATTTCCGGAAGCGTGCAGCTGCAGGTGACCCGGATGTTTCGCAGTAAAGACCTAATTGTGAATCAGTTTGCTGCGAGATTGGGGAAAGAGAAAAGAGGAATCAAGAAGATATAGATTTCACGTGAAGAAACGGCCAAAAGAGCGTTGTTGATGAGAATAAAGGTGGGGAAGCTCAAGCAGCGTTTGAGGCGTTTGAGGTGAGAAGTGCTGATATCGGGGGTTTACCAGAAAATTATTAGGCAACTTGTTCAGTAGGAGGTCTGCGATGCTATTGGACGTGTTTGGTTGATTCGGCGTTTTGACAATAAATATTCGTACAGAGTGCGAGCTGTCGGTGTAATTAGAGCGCTGTCACGTTGGGTTTCCGATCGGTGGCTGAGATATTTCATGTCGAACTGTGTGATATCAGATGGGAAACGTGAAATTAAGCTAACACTTTGAGCTATCGCTTAATCATAAAGTACCTCATCTGTAGCGCAGGAGGTATGAGGAGACAGGCTGTAAAATGAAAGGCTTAAACCACTACTGTTCTTTGGTCCAACACGGCAACCTGTCGCTTCCAGCGTCAGCCGTGGCAAAGAGACGCACATCGACTGTCCAAGCTGCTCGCGACATGGGTGATCAGACGTCACACACCGCTTTCCGAGTCACCGCCGACAGCATTTCATGTATTGTCTGTCTGTTGTCGAGCCCAGAAAAAACCGGGGATGCCATCCCGTTGTGCGCCAAGCGGCGCCTACAAACACTTGCACGACCAGATCTCAGGGGTCTCACAACTAAAGCGGGGATTATTCGTCTGTACCCATGCTACCTACCTACCTAAGTACCTGGGTATCTAATTATATCGTCAGTCATCAGTGGATAGTTAGATTCATAGGCGCTCGGCGAACAAAGGAATATGTACCCCGGAGAAGAAGCTCCGGTGCGCTGAAGGAAGCCTCGATGCACGTGCAGTTCTCACCTCGCATGCATCGAGTCTCAACAGCCTCGCGCTAACTACCTCGGATAGCTCTCCCAAAAGGCTTCGACAGGGACTGTTTTGCATCCTGTTCTCTCCACGTTGACTGGTAGTTGAGAAAGGGTCCAGAACCTGTCTAATAAAAAAAACCTGATTTACGCGGGGAGCTGCAGTAAACTTGACTAAATTTGTCAAAGAAGATGGAGGGGGGTCAAGGAAGCTGAAGGGGGGTATGTCGTCATGCACGACGCCCCCCCCCCCAGGTCAAAGAGCCCTGAGCAAGGAGGAACTAACAAACTCGAGGGTTAGGTGCTTTTTCGGGGTCCGAATTTCTGCCTTCAAAAAACTTTTCTTCTTAATAATTCGATTGAGCGGTTTCTCCTTTTTTTGTTTTTGCAATTTCTCGCTATGTCCAGCCGCCAACAAGTGCAGACGGCGTGTCAAAACTGCCGCCAACGACGAGCAAAGGTGTGTCTTTCCCCGCTGGCAGCACGGGCCGGACCAAGCTCCCATTAATATTAGCCGACTCAACGATACGCCCCGTTTCCGTGGACACTCCTTTTCTCCTCCTCCAGGCTGCAAATCCTTGACCGCCATGATGAGCAATGTTTTTTGCTGACTCTGGACCCTGACCGCAGTGCAACGGCGAGCAGCCATGCAACCGATGCGAGCAGCGCGGTCAGACGTGCGAATACAGAGGCCGCCAATGGGTGTCCAAGAGTGATTTACGTGCTGAGATTGGGCGGCTCCGGCACGGCTTGGGAAAGCTGTCCGCGCCGCCGCCGCCGCCGCCGCCAGATCCGGAGCCCGGGACGACACGAGACTCTGCCGGCGTCGATGACCCGATGCAGAGCTGGATCGATGGCGTCAAGTCCCCCGATGACACGCCGAGCGCCGGGCCCTTCCCCCCGCGGAAGAGTCCCCGGCAGCCGTTTCGGTACCGGTACCGGCCGGGATGCCACGCGGCGCCGCCTCCATGCTCTCCGGCAGCTCCAGCGACTCGTCCTCGTGCTTTGACCAGCTGCTGTCCTGGCGGTCCTGCCATCCGACGTTTCTGCAACGCAACCCGGCCTCTCCCACCCTGCGTGGAAGGCTCACCCTGCCGTCCGCGCCACTCGACGCCTACGGCACCTCGACGGATCTGGACATGTGGACACAGATTGGGTGGACGCGCGCGCACATTCGACACCTTTTTGATGTCCTCATCACCTGGGACAATGTCTCCTTTTGCATCCTGCGGAAGAAGGAGTTTCTGCAGGACTATGAGACTGGCTCGTCGCGGTTTTGCTCGCGGGCTCTGGTTCATGCGGCGCTGGCCGTCGCTACGCGGCTGCTCAACGAAACAAAGGAAGACGCGCATGTACTGCCATCTGGCTGGCTTGGTAGCAAGTATTTTCTGCGCAAAGCCGATACTCTGCTTCGTGAGCAAGGATCGTCCGATAGCCTCCCCGATATTCAATCTCTGGGTATACTTGCTCTATGCCATATTCGAAATGGCCAAGAGAAGGAGGCCAGGAGGTGCGCAGAATTGTGCTCGTCACGTATTCGATCACTCTGCCTCAGAGAGTCTTCCGTTGATTCGTTAGATGCGGATTATCTCAAAGTACGAGCAACAACATATTGCGGAGCAATATCCTTACTGAGGTACGTCTTTGGGTCCATCTGCTCTCGTATCGCATGTCTAATATCTGCGCTAGAATGCTCAACTTGACCACTGGCGCGCTATTCAACGAGGCTGAGCAGTCGCTGGAAGACTCTTTCATTTTGGACCAGCTCCCCGACACTGGCGCTGGGGCAGACGCAGCAAGCCCTGGTATGCCCATAATCACATTGAGACCTCGCTGTAGCGTACTATTCTAACTGACTAGTTGCGGCCAATGATGTCGCGCTGAGCTTACAGATTGCCAATCCACAGGTTCTCGTTGTCAAGATGTTTCAACTCACCGAATGGGTTTACAAGGTCGTTGTGGCGCACCAGCGAGCTTCGCATTCGAACGAATCGATACAAGAGGACATCTTGGAAACCTACACCAAGTGTCTTGGCTGGTACCGTGATGTATTTGAGCTCATTGGTAACGGTGGAAGCAGAAGTCCATTCATCTTATTTGTTCAGTAAGTTTCAGCCAGCGCATCTAGACTACTCAGCTGACCACCCTTGCTCGCTCAGCATGTACTACCACTTCTGTCTCCTTTGCGCCTTTCGACCCTTTGTTGGCTACAACTTTACAGACACCGACATTCAGCCACACGATATGTGCATTCAGGCAGTCCAGTCCATCCTTGCGCTCGCGCAATCCTATGACGATCTGTTCACACTCCGGCGTGTGTCGGCCCTGATACCGTACTTTGTATGTGCCTCCGGCCTCTTCAGCCTCGCTATCGAAGACAGCAGATCAGATACGGACTTTTCCCATATTCCACCTCGAGATGCAGGTGATTCGCAGGCATCATGCCCCACCGCGCCTGGCTCTTCTCCACTGCCGACATCGCGAATCAGAGTCTCAAGTGTTGTCCAAGCTCGCATCCTCTTATCCAAGATGGGTGAAAGCCACCCGGCGGCGACCATGGCCACTGAGAAACTGAAGGAGAGCCTGACTAGTTGGCACCAGTCTAGAGGTAGCTCTAATACTTGAGCGCCAGGGAAATGTACATGATAGCATAGGCCGGAAGCACGGGGCTGGGGTGCATATTTTATTCTTCTCTTTACTGTGTACTAGTTTCACGTATGAATGTTCTAATGACTTTATGAGGTTTTTTGGAATATATTGAGATGCACAAAGTCGATATTGTCGAGCGGAGTTCCAGTGACGCAACCTCGACTGCAGCATTAGTAGTATTAGTAGTACCCAAGGTACCTACCTCGGTGTGTACCTTATTAGTACCTACCTACTACCTAGGTACGTAGTAGGGCCAGTGGGGAACAACTAAGTGTACCCAGGTACCTACTAAGTACCTCCTACGTAGTGCTGCAAGTTTGCTGAGCTAACTGCCCGATCGAGACGAGCCGCCAAGGTGCAGTCGCATGCCGACCGTCCGTCAAGCTTGCTGAGCCACGTACTACACAACACCCGTTTGTTTATTTCCATCTCCGTCCTCGAAATCTCTCAGGAACCCGAGAATAACGCCTGACGTTATATGGTGACTGGTGTCTACTTTTGTGCACACCGGGCACGCAACACTGATTGATCCAAGGCGCCAGCCAATCCCTGACTGCGGGCGCTCTGGGGCCGCTGCAATCTATTTGCGGCCCTTCTCCATCTATGCCTCGACGTTCCTCTCTGCAACGAATTGTCGAAAACGACGCGTTGGCCGATGAATATGACCCCCGCCGCACGCCCCTTTCCGAATCACACCACCGTTGCGCAGCGCAACCATGGCCTCTGAAGGGAGCGCCTCGGCGGCGTGGCCGCCTTTGCGCCCCAACAAACGCGCTGTATGCTCGCTCCCCTATCCCTGGTGCCCGCGAGGCAGATACTAACGGGGCGTGGTGGTTAGAAAATGCGAAATGGAACCTTTGTTATTCCCAGCACCGGAGAGCGATCGAGAAAGCAGTTCACGCTGCGCACGTCGGCGACAGCCAACACCCGCGCGAGCATCATCAACCGATATACCGAAGCCGAGACGATATGCGAACAGTGTGCCGCGGCGGTCGACGACGGCAAATCAAGGGCGGTCGCCCTCTGGTACTGGCTATACTCGGATCAGGGACACCAGGTCCTCAAATGCACCTTTGCTTACGTGCTCGGCAGCCTGGCCACCTTTGCGCCCCTCCTTGCCAACTTTCTCGGCGACCGCGATGGAAAGCACATCGTCGCCACCCTGACCGTCTTCTTTCACCCCGCGCGAACCATTGGATCTATGATCGAGGCCATCCTGGTCGCCATCGCCGCCGTCATATGCGCCAATGTAGTATGCGTGCTCAGCATGACTATTGCTGTCCTCTCGCGAAAGCAGCTCGACTCGGTAGCCCCGGCTCATGCCCTCATTCTTCTCATGGCGGTCGGTGGTGGGCTTGGTTTCATCGCCTGGGTGAAGCAGAAGTTGGACCAGCCACTCGTCAACGTTGCAGCAACACTCGCGTCCATCGCAATCATATCCATGGTTACCAAGGACGACTCCATTCAATACGGCTACTTCTCTGATGACAGAATAGTACAGGTCCTTAAGATGCTTCTCATTGGAATTACCTTCAGCGCAGCCGTCAACATGCTAGTATGGCCAGTGGCGGCGCGACAAATCCTGCGCAAATCCATCATCACAGCATCTTCCACTCTCAGTGACCGACTTTCTTTCGTTACCAGGGGATTTCTCATCGGCTCAGAAGAGGAGGTTAATTCTACCGAATACCACCGTGTTTCCAAGTCTTACACGGCCGCTTATAGCCTCATGACGTTGACACTGCGCGAAGCCAAGCTGGAGTACTACGTCATCGGCCAGGAACGAATATACCAGTACGACAAACAACTCGTCAAGTCCCTGGACGCGGTATCACAAGCAATTGGCGGCTTGCGAAGTGCCTTGAATACACAATTCACTCTTCTCAGAGAGGGTGTCGCAGCCTTGACAGAGAATCAAGACACGACGATAGCGGACGGCGCTCTACCCTCACCCAAGCCGTCCGGCAGAGCATCATCGCTCATGGATGTCGTGGAGCGACTTTCAGTCATCGAAGAGGCTGAAGAACCACGAAGCAACCCAAACTCCCGATCCGACCCTACTCAGGATTTGATAGCAACTTTCCGTGTGCCTTCTGATATATTTGCGCTCTTCATGGCCCTGCTAGGGCCTTCAATGAAGTCTCTGGCCTATACATTAATCGAGATTTTGCGCGAATCTCCTTTTGGAAAAGATATAGCGAATGATGTGGCTATGTCGGAACAGCTACGAGAATCGCTCCGAGACGCTCTGAGCCTGTACAACTCGGCCCGAAGTCGTGCTCTGCAGGAGGTGTATAAAAGCATGGAACTGGGACGTATCCGATCCGAGGCTATCCGAGCAGACATTGAAGAAGTCGCTGCTGCCTGCGGACACTTTTCCTTTAGTTTGCTTGCTGTTGCAGAAGCCATGGATTCGTACCTAGACGTGTTAGAGGAGCTCAGACACTCGACCGAGACCGTAGACAGGAGCTGGAACTGGCTAAAGTTCTGGCAATATAGATGGAAGCCGCAAGATGCAGCAAGCGAAGACCCAGAGCGAGAACCCCTGCTCACAAGAACACAGTCTGGAATTCGTCGGTCCGCCCTGCCCAAGGGCATCCCCAACTCCATGAAGAAGCAGCGCGACAATTACCACTGGGATGCCTCCTCGCAATCGAGCAGCTGGGCTAGAAGTCTCTCGCAGCTGATTCTCAATGTGTTACGATTTCTCTCACGAGAAGACGTTGTCTTTGGCATCAAAATTGCCATCGGTGCAGTCCTTTGGGCCATGTTTGCCTTTATTCCCGCCACACGCCCCGTATATCAGAAATGGAGAGGCGAATGGGGACTGCTGTCTTATATGGTCGTTGTCGGCATGACCAACGGAGCATCGAACACGACTGGCCTCTCACGGCTCCTCGGTACCCTAATCGGTGCCGTTTGTGCCTGCGCGGCGTGGATCCTCAGCTTCGGCAATGCCTACGCCCTTGCCATTTTTGGCTTCTTCATGGCTTTTGGCAATTTTTACTTGATTCTCATCGTCAAGAATGGCCCGCTTGGCCGCATCTCGCTGCTAGCGTATAACGTCATTGTGCTCTACGCTTACAGTCTTTCGCAGCAAGACGACGACGACGACGATGAAGGCGGCAGGAACCCCCTCATATTTGACATTACCTACCACCGCGTCATTGCCGTCACGCTGGGAATCGTCTGGGGCATGTTCTTCTGCCGGCTGCTGTGGCCCATTTCCGGGCGGGCCAAGTTCCGCGAGGGCCTCGCGGTGCTCTACCTGCAGCTGGGCCTCATCTGGAAGCGCGGGCCGCTGACCATTCTCGTTGAGAGCGACAGCCAGCGCGACTACATGGACGCCCGGGAGCAGGCGGCGCTGCAGCGCTACGCGTTTAAGCTCGAGGCGCTGCGCGCGTCGGCCAAGTCGGAGTTTGCGCTGCGCGGGCCGTTTCCCAGCAAGGCCTACAGCCGCGTGCTGCACGCGACCAAGCATATTCTCGACAGCTTCTACGCCATGCACCTCATCAGCGAGCATCGCGGGTCCATTTCGGCCGGCGAGCGCGCCCTCCTCGACTTTACCGCCAGTGAGCGCGTGCTGCTCTGCCAGCGCATCAGCCACGTCTTTCAGGTGCTCGCCTCGTGCATCATGCTCGAGTACCCGCTCACCGATGTCATACCCACGATTGAGAGCAACAAGGACCGGCTGCTCGGCAAGATTCATCAGTTCCGGCTCGACCACTCGCAGGCGCAGATGGCCGGTGGCGGCGGCGGCGGCGGCGGCAGTGCTACTACCGACGGCAAGGCGAACGCCGTTACCGCACCGCCGCCAGAGTTGGCCGCGAGCGGCGCTACACCTGCGCAGCTCAGCGTCGAGGTCGAGGAAAAAGACTACGCGCTTGTGTATGCGTACATCCTGGTCACGGCTCAAGTAGCGGCTGACCTGCAAAAGGTGCGCGAAGAGATTGAGAGCCTCTTTGGTGTGCTCCATCAGAATGACATGTTGCTGGAGTAAGCAGGCGATGTTCAAGGCTGGACCGAGTTTGTTTTTACTACATTCATTTGGAGGGAGAGGTGTTTTTCCTTACAACAAGCACGCTCGGAGTCGGGTGGAATTAATCTTGATTGTACAAGAGAACCGCTGTATTCTTTCTATACCCTTGCTATACCCAAATCATTGAACTTTCGACTCGTTATGTATTGATTATCCACTCTGATACAAACCATTTGTATTTTGAGCCCCCGAAACTATGCCTGAAGAAGGAAAATAAGAAACATTTTTCGTTACATCATCACCCAATCTATGCAGTTTTTCATGACCATAAAACCACCACCGCAACAACCTTTCCATAATCATTCTTTCCTCTCTACTTATCAAAACGTACACTCGCGCAGCCTCCCAAGCCTGCCCAGCTCATACTCGATCCAGCGGCCGACGGCCTTGCGACCGGGCACGAGCACGGTGCCCGGGTTCATGACGTGGCAGCCCTCGTACGTGACGCAAAACGGGGGCGCCGAGGCGTCGACGAGCACCATGGCCGTCGGCAACGGGTACAGGTGCAGCGCCGACGCAAAGTCCCAGTGGATAGGGCGCGTCGCGGTGCGGAACGGCGCGAGGTGGCCCTGGTCGAGGAGCGTCTTGACGAGCTTCTGCGCCGAGCGCACGTCCTGCGGGAGCGACGTCGTCGTCGTCGTCACGGCCGGCGCCTCCTGCGTGGGCTGTGGTGGCTGCCCGCGTCGAGGCTCGGCGACGTCGTCGTCCTTGTCCACCTCCATGGAGTCTGGCGGCGCCACGGCCTGGGTCTGGGCGTTGTCGGTCTCGGCTGCCGTGCCGCTGCCATACGTGTCCTTCTTTAAGCGCACCGAGGTGCGGCGCAGGCGCGCCGACATGTCGTCGCGGAAGAGCACGAGCTCGTGGTTGGGCCCAAAGAGGCTGACGCGCGCCGGGTTCGACGCCCAGACGGCGCTGCCGGGGACGCCGCGCGCCGCGGCGCCGGCTTCGGCGTTGGCGGTGGCAAAGGCCCTGCGCACGCGCGAGGTGAACAGGTCTGGCACGGGATGGCGCGGCACGGGCGTGGACGCGCCGGCGGTAAACGCCGAGACCCAGCCGTCGTTGTCGCCTGGCACGAAGATGAAGGTCGACGTCTGGAGCAGGGTGGGAAAGTCGGCGAGGGCCGAGGCCAGCGCGTCAAAGTATTCCTTGTACTCGATGCTGCCCCCGCTGCTGCCGCCCCGCGCCATGACGGCGTGCTGGGTGAAGTTGCCGGCGAGGACAAAGGCGACGGGCGCGCAGCCCACGGGCTCGGCGCCGTACAGGGCGAGGATCTTGCGGAGCGCCTGCAGTGCGCGCGGCTGGTCCAGGTTGAGCTCGCCAATGACGACGACCCGGCCGCGGGATGGCCCGACCCGGCCGCCGGCATCTTCATCGCCAAAGGAGGGTTCGGGGGCGGGCGGCGCGAGCAGGCGGCGCTCGAGCCGGCGCATCTTTTGGCCCACGGCGCGCTCGCTGCCCACGCCGAGAAAGTCGATCCAGCCGAAGCCACCGCCAATGGCGTGGTCGGGTGTCTGCTCGGGGCCGGTGATGCCGAGCGTCGCACGGCGCTTCTCGCACGGCGGCTGGCCGATGAAGAAGCCCTGGAAGCGGCCGCCGAGCGTGCCGCCAACGCCGGTGCTGCCGCTGAGGCCCTTGCCCACGGACTCGTCCTCCTCTTCGTACACGCCGTCCACGAGCACAATCATGCCCGGGCAGAACCAGGCCGAGTCTTCGGGGATGGCGACAGCCTGCTTGACATCCAGCGCAATGGTGCCGGTCACGTCGCTGATGGCCAGTCCGCCAGTGGGTAGGACGTTGAGCTGCCCGAGCAGCATGTGGTTGCTGCCGTGGCGTCCGAGCATGTTCGCAATGGGCGTTATTTTTAGAGCTTGGGGATTCGAGGATCCTTTTTGGGAGTCGTGGGATCGAGAAGAGGAGACGGTGGGGGTTTGAAAGGATTCGTGGCGGAGAAGTCGTTGGTGAATGACATCGTATCGGTTACGAAAGGCGGCCGTTTTGTGTGAGGCCTTTGGTAGGAGCGATGGTTTTGTCGTGTCCCTAATAGAAGTTAGTCTGATAATTCAAGTATTCCCTGCAGTATCAGTACCTCTCAAAATGCTTCTTTGAGACATTGTAATAGAGTCGCGGCTGCTCAAAAGCATCAATAACTTTTAACCATGCTCGAGGGTCATTTGTCTCGTCATCGTCATGCTCTCCATCTTGTACATCGAGCCCCGTCATTCCGAAGCTAGCATTACTATCCTCTCGTATAGGACCTGTTGGGCGCAATCCAAGTCGAGTATTGAATGAATCGCCAGGGTTGACATCGAGCATGCTGTCACCGCGAGGCAGGCCTCTCCCAGGACCAACGAGCTTGCCACCGCTCATGCTTCCCTCTAGTGTCTTCAGAATCTCATGGAGTTCTTTGCTTTCTCCGTCAACAATGGCAGGGCCATTGCGATTCTTCCAGCTTCTGGCCGCCTCTTCGAGCACCCTTTCCGCGAGTCCATCTTCGCGCCATCCCGATCCACAGTGTCGGCCAATAAAGGACGCAAGCTCTTGCAGCGCCGAGGAAGTCAGTATGAGGGAATGTTTCTTGGTAAACGTTCGAAAGGCCAAAGGTCGCAATGTTGGTGGCGGGAGGATAATCGGAAGTATGCCGGCTTTGGGGGCGTTGACATTGAACGGCTTCAATGGGTGTACCGGGGTCGCAAAGGACGGCGACGATGAAGGAAGGGCTGACGAGGGTATATGGAGATTTTTCCGGCGGAATATGGGTGCTGGTGTTTTATCCATGCTTTCGACAGATTGTAGCCTCGAGGAACCCGGACTTTCGCAAAAGGATGGGATGATGCGACGAAATCGGGACCAAGGCTCCAAACCCTTCTGGCTGGTGGACGCGCCGGACTGGCAGATTACCGCGTTGTCGCGTCTTAGCGTCCAAAGAGTCTAATTGATTTCGATAGATGCATAACCCGCTTTTATGGGGTCAACGGCCAAAATTGTCTAGAACCTCGTCATCATGGTGAGTTCTCGATCTCTTGATGAGTATATATTTAATTCAGGCACCGGTTTGGTTCTATCTGGGCTAATCGACCTTTTACGATTTCCAAATGTTTGCGCTACGAAATCGAGCGCCGTTGCGCCCTCTGGGGTCGCTCAGGCGCATGTTCTCAACTCTTCCAAACAATGAATTTATTGTAAGCTTCGCCCTGTTCCGGATGAATACGAAATATTAACAGAAGCACAGCGCGTCTTCAAGGATCCGGCGTCTACGTCTAGTATCCTGACCTACCTAGACAGTGATCCTCCGTCAAAGCGCCTGGCCATTGGCACGACTACGGAGCTACCACCGACGCCTCGGAGCTTCACCGAGAACAAGCAATTTCTACAGATTTTGGACCGGGTGCTTCGCGAATACGGCCATCTTGACGATGATGTTATTTCCCAAGCCCGCACGCTCGCCAGTCCTCCCCAGTTCCAGTTCAGTCCTGGCGGCGGAAGCCCCCGGCGCAAAGGCGGCGCCCGTTCCGAGCCGCAAGGCGCCAGCGGGCAGGGCGGCGCCGGAGGAGCAGGTGTCGGGTCCTTTGTTCATCTAGGCGACCGTAGACACCCGCCCGAGTTTGGTAGAATCGCCTGGCCCGAGGATATACTGGGAAGTGTTGAGGTCGACAACACGGGTGAGGTCTCGGGCAAGCTGGAACCAAGCGGCACCTACCGTCCAGTGACAAATGACGGCATGTAAGTTTGAATCTTGACCAAGCTAGGTGGTGCCTCAAGTGCTGACAACAGTAGCCTGGGCTTAAGCCCTTTTATCCGAGGGAAGTTGATAGAGCGCCTGAAGTCGGAGGAAGCCAAGGAGAAGAGGCAGTGAAATGACGATGACAGTTTGTATAATTAATGTATTAATTACTGTACGATATAGCAACAACAAGAGCACTTGTTCGGAATGTTTTATGCAGAATGGCACTCGGCGCTGGACATTGTAATCGCTGCGATAATACTGACACGCTGGAGCTGTTCGTTAGATGATAAGGCTATGAGGTATGCAGAGTGTGATGTGATCTAACTTTATTATCATACGCAGTATATCAATGGGTGGTGGATGAGCCCGAAAGGCGACGTCATTTCTCACATCTCCAATCCCTGGCTCGTGCAGAAGCCATTGGCTACCCGCACTACATTGATTCCTGCTTGGAGGATGAATCCTTGATTAGAAGCTATGAAAAATGCACCGTTGCCGTTATTGGATGATTATTATAGTTATCCTGCCAGCGATGCCGTGCAGGGTAGCTTTGATAGGTAGCCGCTGACGTAGGTACCTATGGCGCTATAGGTAGCAGGTAGTTTAGTTGGTTAGGTACCTTGGTTAGTGAGCCCACCACGGTGCCACCACCCAGCACGGCCTCAACAAACCACCAAAATCCGCCTACCTAATCCCAGTGCAGCCAGTGGCCCATCTCCCCAGCGCCTGCTTCTTCTCCCATCGAAATCCCCTGTCGTACTGTAACCCCGCCTCAACCTCTCTCCAGCTCATTATCTTGATTGGCCTTGGCTGCCCAAAAACGTCCTCTAGGCCCCGTTTGCCGCCACTCTTCCCCACGACACAACACAAAACCTCACGATACCCGCGGCGCTGTCCACCGCTCCGAGCTCGGCTGTTTACTCCCTCATCCGCTCCATACTATTCTCGCCATGGCTCACCGAGGCTTTGATGATGAGGAACTAACCATTTCGCTCTCATCAACGCACGTTCGCCGACAGCAGCAACCGCAGCACCCACCCCACCACCGTCATGATGCCGACCGGCCGCCCAAGCCGGCGTCCCAAACCGTCGGCGCTCCCCCAAAGGAAAAGACAAAGACGGAGCAGCGTATTGGTGCCTACAAGGTGATTCGCACACTGGGTGAAGGCTCGTTTGGTAAGGTCAGACTAGCCACCCACATCGGCACCGGCCAGCAGGTCGCTCTCAAGATTATCGCCCGCAAGAAGCTCATCAGCCGTGACATGGTTGGCCGCGTTGAGCGAGAGATTGAGTACCTGCAGCTGCTGCGACACCCTCATATCATCAAACTGTGAGTGTCCAATACATTGCGGGCAATCCGAGACACGCTAACCGCCATCCACCATAGATACACCGTCATCAAGACACAGACCGAAATCATCATGGTCCTCGAATACGCCGGCGGAGAACTGTTCGACTACATTGTACAAAATGGCCGCATGAAGGAGCCCGAAGCTCGACGCTTCTTTCAGCAAATGCTCTGCGCTGTCGAGTACTGCCATCGCCACAAGATTGTTCACCGCGATCTTAAGCCCGAAAATCTGCTTCTCGACGAGAACCTCAATGTCAAGATTGCTGATTTCGGTCTAAGCAACATTATGACGGACGGAAACTTTCTCAAGACATCCTGTGGCAGTCCCAACTATGCAGCCCCAGAGGTTATTGGCGGAAAGCTGTATGCTGGCCCGGAAGTTGACGTCTGGAGCTGTGGAGTAATCCTCTACGTCTTGCTTGTCGGACGTCTGCCCTTTGATGACGAGCACATCCCCAGTCTCTTTGCCAAGATTGCAAGAGGAACATATAGTATGCCCCAGTGGATGCCAAGCGGCGCCGCTAATCTCATCAAGAAAATGCTCGTCGTCAATCCAGTTCAGCGTGCCACGATCGAGGATATCCGCCAGGACCCATGGTTCATGACCGAACTCCCCGCTTACCTGCAGCCTCCCGTCGAGGAGTTTCTCAACACAGGTGTGGATCCTAACAGAGCTATTGAGAAGAGTGACATTGCTCCCAATGCCTCTGTCAAGGTCCAAGAACGCCTGCATAACGAGGTTACCGACAAGATCAGCAAGACAATGGGCTACGGAAAGACGGATGTCGAAGAGGCTCTCCAATCAGAGGAACCTTCCGCCATCAAGGATGCATACATGATTGTCCGCGAAAACAAAATGATGCAAGTTAACCAGCTTGTCGAAGCTGTTGCCACCGAGACCGAAGAAGGAAGCCCTGTGATGAGCATGTCTTCGGCACGTTCGGGAGTTCCGCCGCCGCCGCGCCCATATGTTAGCAAAGTTGGTATCCTGCCTTCAAGTATAGGCACGTATCACAAAGACTACATTGAGCGTGCCAAGTCGGGTGTAGAAGGCACATTGCCCGATGAGACGGCCATTAACGATGAGCCGACGTCGGCTCGCACTGATGCTGAAAGGGAAGAGGCTTCCCGACGTCTCAAGCCCCACTCGCGCTCACAAAAGCAGCTAGAGGAGGGCTTGAAGAGACCACAGGGCATGACACCGATTAATCCGCCGAAGAAGACCAAGCCCGTTCGCTGGCAATTCGGTATCCGATCGCGCAATGCTCCATGGGAGGCACTGCTGTGCATCCACAAGGCGCTGTATAAGCTCGGCGCCGCTTATATTCCAGACGAAGACTATGCGAGATTGCGGCAACACGATGGAGAGACGCCAGTTGAGGAGGAGCCACAAGAACCTTTGGATGGGAAGGACCCCACGCAACAGTACAAGCTCCCCGCGGACCCTTGGCACATTCGTGTGCGCTGGGAGACTAAGAGTATGTGAACCTACGAATGCCATTTTGCTACTGTGTGCCACAGGTACTAACGTTTGTATCCGTAGTTATGCGCAGCACAAACGCGAGCACACCGACAGAGACCGAAGCCGGCCAGGAGACCAAGATACCCGACACATACCAAGTGCTGGAGGGCAAGGCCGCGCAGACGCGGGACTTTGTCGCGCTGCACCTGGGCATCCAAATCTACGAAATGGAGCAGGGCGTGTATCTAGTGGATTTCAAGTGCTCGGGGTACGAGACGGCGGATGGTAAGTTGCTGGAGGAGAAGGAGGTGATGAGCCCTTTTCCGTTCCTAGACATGGCGGCGCGTCTCATCATGCAGCTTGCTGAAGCTGATTGATTTTATCCATGACTATTGACATCTTGCTTTTTTTCATCGCTTTTTTTTTCATCCAGGGCGCATTCCACACACAGATACATTATGATAGACTTGGGAGTTTTATTCTTTGCCTGCAAATATAACGACTATGTACGGTGACGAAACCGCATCCATCTAGGAACCATCTAGGAGCCGACGAAACCAATTGGGCAAAAATTACCTATAGTGCGTCGCGAATCAGATCCATGTGAGAAGGAATTTTGTGATTTTGTACACTAGATACAAGTGTAATGTAACGAGATCATTTTTGTCATGACAAAGGAAAATCATCATCCCAAAGAACACGCCATGATGAACAATCATGATGTTTTTTTCTCCGCGCGCGGCACACTGTTACTGTTCCCAACATGTGCCGCATAGTCTAATGGAATCCAAAAAAAAGAACAAGAACATATCCAAACCAAGATAAAAAAAATCTCAAAAAGAAGCCGTACAGGCATGGGAAATCAACAATGAATCAAAACCAGAAAGGGACAAGCCTCACTCGTGTCAGTTTAGTGGAACTGGTCCTCAGTGACACCCTTGCCCATGGCCGAGGTGGAGCTGACGCCGCCGGTAATCATCTTTTGTAGCTCATCGACGTAGTTGGCGCCGGACCACTTTTGGTGCTTGACAACGTCGACGCCGAGCTCCATCTCGGGCTCCTGGACGAGCTCGCCGTAGGCGCGCATGCCGTTCTTGGCGTAGGCCTTGGCGAAGCTATCGCTAATGAGGGCGGTGGTGTGCAGGCCGGCGAGGGTGATGAACTGCCAGCAGTAGCCGAGGCTAGCGAGGCGCTGAATGTACGTCTCCTGCTCGTCGCGGGGCATGGCCGTCTTCCAGTTGAACGAGGGGGAGAGGTTGTAGGAGAGCCTGAGAGAAGAGGGTTAGCGGGTTGCTTGAAAGAAAAAAGAGTCGGAAGGGCCAGGCTCACTTCTGGTGGGGGATAGCGGCGTGGACACCGTCGGCAAACTCCTTGGCCTGGGCAAAGTCGGGCAGCTTGGACTCCATCCAGACTGCATCGCAGAAAGGGCCGTAGGCGATGGCGCGGTTGATGGCGCAGTCGCAGCCGCCCTTGAGGCGGTAGAAGCCCTCGCGAGTGCGCGGGGCATCCCAGTTGAAGTAGACGTCGACGCCGAGGAGGCCCTTGGCGAGAGCGCGGGCCTCGGAGTTGGACTTGCCCTTGGCCTGTGCCTTGTACTTGGCCTGGAGCTCGGCCTTGTTGCTATAGGCGCCGGCGTCAATGGCTGCGGCGACGGCGTCGTCGAAGCGCGACAGGTTAGCCTTGGCCAGCCACTCGTCCTCAATCCGTTGCAGCTCGTCGCCGACCTTGCCGGAAGCCTCGGCGGCGGCCATGAGCTCGCTGAGGGGCTGCAGGTTGGGGTTGGTACTGCCGATGATGAAGGCGTGGTCGCGGGGGTCGATGGTGGTGGTGATGAGGGTGGCGGCCTCGGCGTCGGTACGGGCGACGGCAATGAGGTCAGAGCCTTGGGCATTGTTAGCGATCATGTTTTTTTATTCAAACTTTTATTCTCATATGAGATGTGGAATGAGTAACTCACCCATGATATCGGCCTGGGCGCGGATGGCAACCAGGCGGCTAATGTGCTCGCTGATGGGGACAAGGACCTTGCCAGCCATGTGGCCGCACTTCTTGGTACCAGGGGCCTGATCCTCAATGTGAATACCGGCAGCGCCCTTCTCAATGAAGAGCTTGGTGAGCTTCATGACGGCAGTGAGACCACCATGACCGGTGTCGGCATCAGCAATGATGGGACGGAGGTAGTCAACGTTGGCGAGCTGGGCGCGCTGGCTCTTGGGGACGCTGATGCGCTCCTGGCGCTGTTTGCGGTCGTGGAAGAGCTGGGCCATGAACAGGTGGCCAACCTTGTTGGGGACGGTAGTCTAAACAACATAATTTGAGTCAGTTTTTGATATGACCCATATACAGCGATGGGATTCGAGGGAATAGTCAAGCGGCGCAAATAAACGGTTGCCATGCAAGCCATGCAAGTCATTGGCACATGTATGGCCTTGTATGTAGGCTGGTGCTAGGGCGCCTTGGCATGTGATAATATCGTCGCAGCCAAACCCACTCATGGAGGGGTACCTTATTAAGGTGTGCAAAGAGGCATGGGTGGGTGTAAGCGACTAGGCTTGGGGGGCTATCTCACGTAAGGGTAGTCAGCCAGATCGGGGCCGGGTTCGTCGGAGGACGAGGCAGTAGAAGATGATTGCCATCCAGAGACGTAGACTGTGTCGAGATATTTGGCCATCTGGGTGAGCATGGTAGGCTCGAGGCAGCCGTAGGTGAAGGAGGCATCTTTGGACTGTTTTCGGAGAGGTTAGCGTTGAGCCGAGGCGTTGGTGGGCACTGGCCCGTCGGCTTAAGAAGGAAGCAGTTCGAGGCATTGGGGAAGCCAATTGGCTCGAGAATTGCCCTCAAAAGCCAGGAAAAAGTGTATGCGCGTACCTCGAAACGACCCTCGAGGATCTTCCAGAGCTTCTTGGACTGGGCGTTGCTGGGGTACTCAATCTTGAGGTATCCACGCTTGGAGACAATCTGCTCGGCCGTGAAGGGACGCTTGGTGTGCTTCCAGCGCGAGTCCTTCCACCAGGACTTGACCTGGGCAACCTCCTGGGCGAAGAGGTCGTCCTCAGATTCGGGTTTGACGGCCGGGTTGATCATGTTGTTGGAAGCCATGGTGGCGGGTAGATGTGGTTTAGCCGAGGTGTAGTTGGATGTACTTGTACTGGACAACAGCAAGTGACAGCTGTGGGAGGAAAGCGAGGAGGGGAGGAAGGAGGAGGAAGAAGTATCGAAGACTTGATGGCAAAAGTAAAGGGTGATGGAGAAGAAAGGGAAAAAAAGAAGAGGAAGAAATTGGGCACGAGGAGTCGAATGCCGAGAGATATTTAGAGTCGAGCGCCGGCCCGTCAGTCAATCATACTTACTCCAACTGGTACAAATTTTAAGTACACATGGGCAGTGGTGTGTGGCGCTTGAACCGGTCGGCCGGTTGTGTTTGCTCGTGCCAGCTGCTGCCAGTTCCGGGCTAGTGGGTCCGCTGGCAGCTGGCGGCTCCGTTTGCACTGAGAGTTTTGAGATTTACAGGGGGCATTGCTCCAAAAGGCAGCACTGGCAGGGCACATTCGGTGCATTTTGGCCTGTAACTAAATGCGCCAGAGACACAACACAACGGGCCTCTGGGCCTAGCAACCACGAACAAGGAAGGTACCTGGCTAGGCCAGACTATTACTCTCCCAAGCCATGTACCTCACATCATTCTGTAAGCCCGTCATCCACCACTCCTCCACTATGAGTAGCATAACCTGGTCGTCGAAATAATACTGCATGCGCCTTCCCGGGGGAACAGCTTGCGGAATCAAAGCTCAAATGATGCTCGGAGCACGGCCGGGTTTCCGCTCGTATGGCCGGGGGATCAAGGGGAGGAGTCACAGCTCTTTGGTTCTGGTTGTCAAGTTGCCGATTCAACATCGTCATTCAAGTGACCGAACGAAAGAAAAGGCAGCCCCAAAAGGCCGGTCGCCTGGGGGTCTCGGCTCAAAGGGCGACCGGAAGTTGGAGAAGAGGAGCACATGCTTTGGGGAGCAGCAAACAGCGGCCGAGAGCAGCAGCGTTCAGAATGGCTTGAGCACTGGAACTTGCAAGCTTGGAATGCCCGCCACAGCCAAATGGAATGGTGGGGGCTGTAGCCCGGTGGGCACATCTGCGGTCGCATCAACCAATGGTGGCCACTGTAAAATAAAAGCAGCGCTCTCGAGACTCTTGCTGTGGGTCCTGTTCCTTTGACCGAGGTGGCCGGGGGGGGGGGGGGGGTCCGATGATGTATAACTTTGCGCATCCAAGCATTGCGACTATTATCAGTAGTCTGGCAAATTGATATTCGGGCTTGGAAAATTCAGTAAATACACGTTTCACCATTTCTTTCTGGAACTAACATCTCTTGGCCAGCCCAAGATTCAAGATGGTACCCCAATTCACCTCCCCGCGTCATCCCACCACACCGCCCACCTCGGGTTAGCGGTGGCATGCTCCAAACATCCAAACAACTCCCCCAAACTCGCCCCAAACTCCCCCGCAAACCACTCTCAGCCGTGTCGATACAGGGGGCTTTGTAGCGGCTCAAGACCGCTATAGCATCGCACTTCACCCCGATATCGTACTAAGCTACGAATCCAAGGTAGCAACTGTCCATCAACGCAGCGATACGGAAATTTACAAAGGTGTATTTCTTTCACAACTACTTTCAAAGGCACCCTCATGCATCTACATTGTCCCGCTCTACTGTCACCCGCCGCATTGTCCTCTTCTCGGCCGTCTCGTTCCGTATTCTCCCTTGCGGTCGCCGCGTTCTCCAACGCTAGCCCCCGATTCGCTCCTTTGTGCCATCGCCGAATCCACCCCGGATCCGGGCCCTGCCTTTACATGTGACGGCACAAGACGCTCTACCCGCCCGTCAGCCGACAGCATCGTCACCGACACTATCTGCTCCTAGTTACCTTGCAAGCCTCTAGTTCTTCTCCGTGCCGTGTCTGGTCTTGCTTGTGAATCCGTCATGTGCCCTCGGGATACGTGTCAAACCAAGCTGCCATTGTAGCGCCAGCATCGCGAACTACTTGAAGAACAATATTTGAGAACAAAATCGGGACCTGGTATGTGAATACGGGCAAGACTCCCAATGATTGCTCGTCAAATGATTCACTTTCAGTTATCCTCTCTTTTGCTTCTTTTTCACTCTACAATACTTGCAGCAGCGATTTTGCAAGCACACACAAATCTACTGTCGCCTCAACATACCGCTGACCTAGCCCGTTCTAGATCGAGTCGATTTTCCTCTCGGGCTGTAGGTCCTAGTAAGGATTGACCTGTTCAGTGCGTTGTGTAGTATACCCATAATATTTTGCCTGCAACTTATAATAACTCTGTCATCGTGTACTGGATGCGGCGAGAGAGCGCGCGTATTGCTGTCTCCGCATTGTAGCTTCCCGACGACTGGGGGACTTTCAAAATCCTGGCGGCAACTGGCAAAGCTTTGTCATTGGTTTTCGCTAAAGGCTTTCTTAATAATAACTATTCTCACGACGAAGCTTTTCCCGGAGATCCATTACCTGTCAGCGAGTAGTAATAGATAGCGCTAGGTTGAAATTAGCGTCAACATCGGGCGATCTTCAAAACCTCGCATTTGAGCTCACCTCGAAGCAAAAGAATGTAATTTGGATATTGATGATGATGTCCGATTTGTGGGAACTGTAGATTGGAGTTTAGGATCAGAAAACGGCGGCTGATGGTTGCGCTAGAGAAAGAATTTGCAGAGCAACTGACACCAGGCAACATGAGTGCACCAATAGCAACAAGATTTTATTATCGGGATCTCTCTATAGATAACTTCAAAGGGAACTCAGTACTTTGAGATTATTAACTGATTTACAAGGCCATATAGTAGACTTCGAGTCAAGTGTGGATAACTATGCTGGGTTTAGTCTGGTCATCAAACACTCGCCAAGTAAGACAGCGTCCACGTCAAAATATGCATAGTCGAAACATGGCATGATGACGGTAAATACAAGATGAATTCTGTCCCTTGCGCCAAGAACAGACAAAGCGGTCCGGATACTCGCTAGCGATTACAGCGCGCGACAACGTCGTGGCTTTCTGCACCCCGGGCCCGGGAATTGATCTGATAGGACAATTACTCTGGCTATCGCCGTATTAGGAGTTTCAGCTCTGGGCTGCCTGCTGGCGTCTTACACAAAGCTCGTTACATCCCGCAATTCGCATCCCACTTCTGCATCCGACATCGCTTACGGCTGCCGTGTGCTCCGTTAGCGTCAGATATGGTGCTGGGTTGGCCGTCAGACCGTCAGACCGCATGCCTGTCTTGTTGAGAAAACTCGCCCGTCAAACCTCACCAGCATGCCGTCTTATCAACGCACTAGCCTCGCTCGTCCCGTGCTCTCGTGCCCTCACCTCTGCCTCGTGCCCTCTGCCTTGTCCGTCCGCCCTTCTCCGCCCTTTTCCCTTCCGCCTCCACAGGGACTCAGGGAGCTGTGAAACCCACCCCCGGCCGACCCGCCACTAACTAAAAGCTGCCACCGCAGGCCAAGTTAAATTCTTCAAACAACATCACGCCTTGCTTCTGCCCTTTGCCTCTGCATTACCACAGACCTGAAAAGCCCCCGCCCTTTCCCAAGCCATCTCCCATCTGCTTTCATACTGGCCTCTGCTCTCAGACGCGCAATTGGGCATCCATTTCGACCACCCCGCCATTTCCCCCCTCGCCCCGCCGACACCGCTACTCACAGAGCAAACAACAATCTCGATAATGTCTGATCCGACCGCGCCCTCGGCGCACCGTCCTCGAGCGTCTGAGGATTTTGGCGTCTTTGATGATGCCAAAACCTATTATGCCTCCGATGAGCGACACACTGGTCGCTTCGCGAACCGGACTCGCACATACTCCCAGGCAAGTCGCAGCTAAGAATGTCATCATAGCTCGTGACAACACATCTAACACAGACCCCAGAGCAGTTTGATCAAGCAAATAGAGCGAATGAATCTCCCGGAGCCTTTCCGGCGTGGAAGTCACGGTATGTCATGCATGGCGAATCTCATACAGCATCGTGCTGACACTGTCAGATGAGAGCAATCTGGAGCAGGGTCGACGCTTTCTCATCCAAGTTGATGCGACCCTCGAGAGTCTGAAAGCCCAAGAAGATACCGACGGGAATATGCAAATCACAATTGAGGACCATGGACCCAAAGTCCTTCCCCTGCGAACGGCTGCCTCCGCTGGCTATCATCGATTCGAAGTCCGTGGCACGTATATGTTGTCCAACCTGCTTCAGGAGTTGACCCTGGCCAAAGAATACGGCCGCAAGCAAATTATCCTCGACGAAGCCCGACTCAACGAAAATCCTGTCAACCGCCTCTCCCGTCTTATCAAAGATCATTTCTGGGATGGTCTGACGCGACGTATCGATGCGTCGAGCATTGAGATTGCTGCTCGTGACCCCAAAGACTGGACCGATGATCCTCGACCGCGTATCTATGTGCCATTCAAATGCACGACACAATATGAATACTACAAGCAGGTCGCCCTCGATCGTCCAGAGATTCGACTGGATGTCCAATTACTCCCCGAAGTTATTACCCCGGAGATTATTCGTGACATGAATGCGAAGCCTGGTCTTCTCGCTGTTGCCGTTGAAGAGATTGAGGAGCAAGACCCTGTCAAGGGAACCATCAAAACCCTCCGTGGACTTCCTTTCGTTGTGCCTGGTGGTCGATTCAATGAGCTGTACGGATGGGATAGCTACATGGAGTCTCTCGGATTGCTGGTCAATGACCGAGTTGACCTAGCCAAGGCAATGGTGCTCAACTTTTGCTTCTGCATCGAGCACTACGGCAAGATCCTCAATGCCACACGGTCATACTATCTGGGGCGCTCCCAGCCTCCTTTCCTCACCGACATGGCGCTACGAGTATACGAAAAAATCAAGCACGAGCCCGATTCCCTCGAGTTCTTGCGTCGCTCCATTCTGGCAGCTATCAAGGAGTACCATAGTGTCTGGACTGGGCAGGCTCGGCTGGATCCTACTACTGGTCTATCGAGATACTGCCCAGAAGGTCTTGGAGTTCCGCCCGAGACCGAACCTAGCCACTTTGTCCACATTCTGGAGCCATATATCGAGAAGCACGGTATGAAATTCGATGAATTTGTTCGCGCTTACAACTATGGCGAGATCAAGGAGCCGGAATTGGACAACTACTTTATGCATGATCGTGCCGTGCGAGAGTCGGGCCATGACACCAGCTACCGCTTTGAGGGAGTTTGTGCCAACCTTGCCACCATTGATTTGAACTCGCTACTGTTCAAGTACGAAACCGACATTTCTCGCACTATCCGAAGCCTCTTTGACGACAAGCTCGTCATGCCTGAGGAGTTTTGCCAAGGCACCCCGTACAAGCCTGGCGACATTCTCACCTCTGCCCTGTGGGACCGCAAGGCCAAGAGGCGCAAGCTTACCATGGACAAGCTGATGTGGAATGAGGAGGAAGGCATGTTTTTTGACTACGACTTTGTCAACAAGAAGCGCTGTACATATGAAACTGCTACAACGCTGTGGTCGCTGTGGGCGGGTGTCGCCTCGCCCAAACAGGCGGCAGATATCGTGAGGAAGGGTCTCCCCAAGTTTGAAGAATTTGGTGGTCTGCTTGCCGGTACCGAAAGCTCGCGCGGAAAGGTCGGCCTGGAGCGACCCAACCGGCAATGGGATTACCCGTACGGTTGGGCACCGCAGCAGATGTTGGCCTGGACGGGCCTGCTCCGCTACAGCTTCAACGAAGAAGCGGAGCGCCTGGCATACAAGTGGCTGTTTATGATTACCAAGGCATTTGTCGACTTTAATGGCGTTGTTGTGGAAAAGTACGACGTGACGCGACCCATCGACCCTCACCGCGTGGACGCCGAGTACGGCAACCAGGGTCTCAACTTCAAGGGCGTCGCCAAAGAAGGGTAAGTTTTTTTTGTACTTTTGAATTGTCCTCTTGACCACGCAACAGCTAACCCGTTCCCCCCCCCCTCAGATTCGGCTGGGTCAATGCCAGTTATGTGTATGGTCTGCAGATTGTGAATGCGCACATGCGCCGTGCGCTTGGGACGCTGACGCCGTACCCGACGTTTATCAAGGCCATTGAGCAAATGAATGAAAAGGCGCTTGCCGATCTTGAGTAGAGGGTGTTGGGCTTTTGCATCAAGTAGACTTTTTAAATATCTATAGCGTAATGTGGGTCTCCTATTACAGTTTCTTTAATTATCCAATTCGTTTTTCTCATATCTTGTATCGTTCCATCTGTAGATCTCACGGTGAATGGGCTGCCATGGGAGAGCGTCATCAGTTTGGTTTTATTATGTGAACCTCTAAACACCATCATATTATGAAATACTCATCAGCGTCAACAGCAGGCTATTGCGCGTAGGTGATGTGTCTTGGCCTTTGGCGCAGCGCGGGGGCTTTTCAAAGCGAGGAGCTTTATGGCTCTCTGGTCATTCTTGGCCTTTGCGGGCGTGTTTCTTGTTTTCAAGACCCAATGATCGCTGGAAGTCACTGGTTGTTATTCCTCAAATGCTCGCTCATAGTCTCTGGCTGCTGCCAACGCTCGTTCGTGTTCCCAGGCTGCTGCAATTGTTGGGCACAATGAAGCCTGGGAAGGAGGGAGAGTTGATCAAGGCGTGGCCGCTACAAGCTGAGGATATTGGTGGCCGGGAGCCCTGATGGATTGCTCCTGCCAACATCTCTTGCCGACGATGTTGGCGATCGGTGCTTTATAGATATTGCTGGCTGGCGTCTCCAGTGTGGAAGCCATTGATGCTCAGTTTCTTCAGCAAGCTTAGGTATTCCTTCCTCATACAACTTTGGTATCAGTGTCCATCCTTGTGTGCCCACATCGCCGCACCTCGATATAAATCGAAAGTGAGCGCCGTCGGTGCAAGTGTTGACCAACCGGCCTCGGCAATCACTCCTCAGGGCGAGCCAGGGCAATCATCTCGGCCCTTCGCTGTGCCACCGCGCGCGCATCCCACGTCCCCGCAAAGATGTCGTCGCATTCGTCCTCGTCCTCCGAGTCAAACGTGACATCATGAGCGCTCGGACGGCGCCGCTGCCCATACGCCGTACCATCCACGACCACGCTGCTGTCCGGCCCGCCGCCGTCTTCGCCCCAGCTGCGGTACGCCGTGACGCGCTCCGTCTCGAGAATGTACTTGCCGACCTTGTACTTTTGCGATTTCTCCTTGGCGTCGACGTATTTCCAGCCGAGCTTGCGCGCGCACGTGCCGCACGAAATGTCCGCGACAACGTGCCAGCCGGTCACGAGCTGTCTGTTTTCCAAGCGGCCGAGGCGAATATTGAGCAGCGCGGCGGGGGCGCTGTCTTGGTCGTCGGCCGCTGGTGGCGGCGCAACGAGCAGGGCGCGGCCGTAGCGGCCGGTGAAGCCCTTGGAGACAATCTGCGACGACAGGGCCAGGTCGGCGGAGCAGCCGGTGCAGCGGAGCGTGTCGGGGGCGAGGCGCGCGAGACGGCCGGTCTGGGGTGTTGTGCTGGCTGAGGTGGCGGTGGTCGTAGCGGCGGAGGGCGAGGACGAGGAGAAGCGGCGTAGAAAGGGAAACTTGAAGCTGGGTAGCAAGTAACTGGGAAAGATGGGCGGGGTGGCCGAGATGCGGTGGCTACTTCGGGTCGCGTCGGACGGGGACCGGTTGCGCATCGTTGTGATGATGGGGGTATAGGTGAGGTTGGGCAGCGAAAGATGTAGGTCCGCAGGAGAGGGGGCGCTGCGTCGAGAGGCCAGCTCCGAGTACACGTGGTTTCGTCTGAGCCAAGTTAGTGGGAAGCGTTGCGATTAGATCAGTAGTGGTGACAGACCAATGATACTACTCCTGGCGTAGATGGGACGATGCAAAGGCTGCGCAGGCGATGTCGAAATGGCCGTTCGCCAGTCACACTTTGAGACTTTGAGGATAGATGGTGAGAGTAAGAACCGGCCAGCGGTGAGAGTTGGGTGATTGCGTGCGATGCTACATAACTATTGCTGAGGCGGCAGATAATACTAGATAATGGCGCCCCGGCAAATGGGTCGGGGGAACAGCCCCGCTCCGAGGTCAAGGGACCAAAAAGAACCCACGGGACCAAACTAACCATTGCAGGCGGTATATTTTTTTCATGGATGAATCACATGATTTTGACCTTGACAATGCGCTGGATGGATGGGTAGGATGGGTGCGCCCGCAGGGACATGCTGTGCCCTGCTGACTCGTAACTACATACGCGAGTGAGGCCTGTTTTTGGACAGGGTACTAGACAGGTCTCTTTTTTAATAGCTAATTTTCCCCTGTCACAACGCTGTTAGGCGTCTAACACGGCTTCTAAAAAAACATAAAAGATCTTTAACACGTAGCAGCAGCCTGACAGCGTTGTGACAGGGGAAAAAAACATGTTGAGTGGAAAACGTGTCCAGTGCCCTGTCAGAAAACAGGCCTCACGCGCGTAGGTACCTTGCTTCAGCCTCGGAGGTTCCGACCCGTCCTTGCATTGTTGTCTGGCGGCCACAAGGCACAAAGCACACCGTACATTGGCCAGCTCCATCTTCAGCGTGGAAAATGCCTCTGTTGTTCCTTGTTGCATGTCTATTTTCTCTCTCAGAATAGTAAATGCCAGCTCGGGGTTACTTTTTTGGGTCGTCTCATGTTTTGCAAGCAAAGCCCCAGGCCACCCCCAAGCCGGGATCGGGCAACAGAAATAGCGTCCGCGTAAGAGAGAGAGCAGGGTGCTGCAGGACTTGGACAAAGAAACGAGCGCACTGGGGCCTGGGAGATGTTGCGCGGGGAAAACAAAAAGAAAAAGAAAAGAAAACGACCAAGCGCACCTTGCGACCAAGCACCATGGCAATGCTACGCTACTACGGCTCACGGCATCAGCATCCATGAGATGAAGCTGCATAACGCACCGGCCACTGCCTCTGCCTTTGTCAATAAACGCTGTCAACGGCCTGAGACAAGCTGTCTGAAATGTGTGTAGCGGGGGGATTGATTCGCCGCCGCATTCGATATCGTCAATGTGTCTTGGATAAGGCAATTGTAAATGTAGTAATAATGTCTCATTCTTCGTAAATGCTCAAAATGTTGCTTGCTACCTCAAACACTAAACGCCAGGAAAAAAAAGACTATGCCAATCCATAGAGTAGGAAACATCGTACAGGTAGTGACCACCACCAGCTCGGCCCGGATGCAGGGCCGGGTGACGGTGACACGAAATTCATCATCATAGCGCCCGGTGCAGATGAGGAGCGAGCCGCGTCGACTCCACTGCCATCGTTATCGGCCTTCAGAATGGGGCCCGGCCCAAGCTGCAATTTTATGCACGTCTCCTGTGACGTATTCTTGTGAGCAGCGGTTCCGACCCCATGGGACCGGGAAAAAAGCAAGCCTGGTTTCGGCTCAAACGGCATCGTTGGCTTCAACCGCAACCAGGCTCCCGTATCCCCCTAGTTGACAAGCTGCACCATCATCCGGGCAAGGTTGTCGTGCTTGTAGCGAGACGCCACCGTCACAGGCGTATCGCCGTATTGATCCGCGACGGTGAGCATGTACGGTGTCTGGTGCTGGAGCAGTGTCTTGACCACCTCGTCGGAGCCGCTCATGGCTGCCGCATGCAAGGGCGTGAGACCCCGCTTGTTGATGTTGGTCTGAACATCAACACCATTCTGCAGCATCCAGCGCACCAGCTTGGCGCTGCCGTCCTGGCAGGCGAGGAGGAAGGGGGTAAAGTCGTTGTACTCGGCAGCCAGATCGGCGCCGCCGTCGACCAGCAGCTTGACCATGTCCAGCGAGCCGGTCAGTATAGCCGTGTGCAGCGGAGTCTCGCCGGTCAGAGGCCGCGGTAGCGACGGATTCGCGCCGTGCTGCAGCAGCAGCTGAGCAATCTCGACCTGGCCGCTCTCAATGACCTCGTGTAGCGCGGCGCAGCCCATGCGGTCCTGGGCGCTGTGATCGGCGCCGCTCTCCAGCAAGGCCTCGACAATCTCGGCGTTGCCGCAGCGGATGGCCATGACGAGAGGTGTCTCTCTGGCACGAGTCGTGGCGGACGGGTTCGCACCGTGGGCGAGCAGGTAGCGGACGAGGGCAGGTCTTTGAAAGTCGTCGGTGCAGGCGAGGTGGAGAGGCGTCCGGCCTTGGCCGTCGGTGATGTGAATGTTGGCACCGAGGTGCAGGATCTGCCAGGTAGCCCAGTCGGAGCCGGCCTTCATTGCCTCGAGAAGGGGTCTGGTGTTGTTGCGGCGCATGCGGTTTATGTCGAGGCCGGCCTCCTGCCAGCGTTGCAGGGTGCCGGCGTTTTGGTGTGTTAGAGCCCAGCGCAGGGCGTCCTTTTGTAGGGTGAGCTCGTCGACGGTGTAGAGGTGGTTGATGAGCAGATTGTAGTAGCCGCGGTCGACTTGGCATAGGGCATTGATGTGAGAGACTTTGGATAGCTGAGCAACAATTTGCAGCCGCAGCTCTGTGGGTAGAGTGTCGAGGCCCATGTTGTAGAAGCGGGTGCTGGGCCTGGGCGTGTGTGGGTGATTCGGTGTAAGTGAGGAAGTGCGGAGGTGTAGAGAGTTGAGTACGATGAAAGCAGCAAACTCCAACAAAGAAATAGTATATCAATGGAATTGCGAGGGAAGAACAAAGTATAGTTTCGCAAACGTGGAGGAGGGAAGCCGGGTCTTTATTCCGGAGAAGGCAGGCTATCTATTGTCTGGGAGCAGCTCTGGACTTTGCCCGAGGAGACCAGGCCATCAGGCTTTGGCAAGACTCGTTCCGTTCTAGCCGGGTGGCGCCGACACTCCATGGTGCGCCAGCAGGCTTCTACAGTGGGTGCGATGCTGGCTTCATCCACTAATCGTCCACTGTAACCCGCCAAACGGGCTTGGAAACGGCTTGACGGGCCTTTAGCAACAGCAAACGGAGCCTTGCCAGCTGGCAATGCCAGTGTCGGCTGGTCTGGCCTGTGACATCACGCAACGCCGTGCATTGACGGCTCAATGCCTCCAAACTCCAAGGCAATCCCCCTTCTCTTGTCCCATAACCAATAGCTCGGTGGAATACCTCACTTCGCCTCGCATTCCCCTCTCATCTTTCTTTCAGCCACCAAGAATAGCATACGCCTCTCCTGCATCTCTACATCCCCACAGTCCAAGTCGGAAGCACACCGACCGATGTCTCTGCTGCCACGGTCCCTGGCCAAGAACGTGTCATTTATTCGCTACCCTGACGATATCTCGACCGGCTGCTGTCTCAAGGTTCCCCTCGGAGCTTGCATTTCAGAACACACCATCTCGGCGTTCCGCCCTGAATCTGAACCCTGGTACTGGTAGCCTGCTAACTAGCCTGGTAACCTCAAAGGGAAAGCCTCCGTTGGTCCGTAGACCGCAGCTCAGCCATCTCAGGTCCAGGCCCAGCGCCCGCCACGGCATCGACACCGACACCTCCTTGTCCTATAGTCTAGTTGGCGAGCCACACCTTGTTGCGTTGTTGCGACGGCCCTTCTTCTGGCCTCCGCACATCACGGTTGCAGTCGCATTGCAGTTGTGACAGGCACCTGCAAATTTACAACCGTCCAATAGATGCATCTACCGTCTATAGCTTGCCCGGGCTGAAATATTGGCAGAGTTAGTGTGCGAGCTGAAGCGCCGCGGAGTCTGCGCAGCGCTGCTAGCTCATGTACAAGATGCTTCAACACGGCACAAATACCACTCCATGAGCGCCTCCCCCGCACGACCACCAGACTGAAGCCATACCCCATGTGATCCATGTGATGTCGCTGCCTGCAGGGGTTATCCCCTGCTCCCCACGGCGCGCGCGGAATGGCTGCATCTCAATCCAGCATAATTTGTACAAATTAGCCTGTCAGACGCTACTTTTCAACCCAAATTCAACTCTTGAGCTGAGGTTGCTGGGGCGGCTGTCACCACTGTTGAGTTCTTGTCTTTGTGAGACTTGTTACTGATCAACCTGAGCAGATACAGCTGGCAAGGCTGCGAAGTATCTATGTTGCACGCCTCAAAATGCTTTCCGCCCTCGACAGGGAATTAAATTTGCAACTTCCCGAGACTATTCAAAATCCCAGTCTGCATCACCACGCGACGCGCCACCCGCACAGTTGTTGGCAGCGCCAAAAGATGTAGGGTCGTCGTTTAAATCAGCCCCAACGCGCCAGCCAATGAAATGAGCCTTGATCAACCCCCTCAAGGGACGAGACATACATACTGTCATTAAAAAGTCAAACACGTTATCGTCATCGCTCCGTACTGTCTAATTCAGGACTTCAGTGCTGACCCTGGCGTTATCATCTTCCTTGCACAGTTCGGATACCCTGCCTCCTGCACAGCCCGACCCCCTCCATCAACGTAACCCCGGGTTGGGACCATTCAAATTGGAGCATGCAGGAATGTTTCTAAAAATTGCATCGTCATCTCAATGAGATGCAGCAATGATCTGCGCGATTTGTCTACAAAATTAGCCTCGCCTCGTCATTTATCATGAGGCTAGCCGAGACAACTAAATGACCTGTACGGAGTAGATCTTGTCGCACCCACCTCCAAACTCCGAGTTCGTCAACGGCGCACATTTCGTCGTCGAATGTGCATCTTCTCTGGCCCGGGGCAATTCTGCCGATTTCCCGCCAATAAACAAACTAGGTACCACCCGCAACTCGGTGATCCCACTTCCACTAGAGAGTACTAGCACTGTATCGATATCCATGATAGTCTCCAAACGATGCGCCACTGTCATCGCCGTGTGAGTTTTAAACGTCCCGCGCGATCATCTGCATGAGATTGCCTGTAGCTTCGTCTGTCTTGGGTTAAACGATTATTGCCGTCGTCGCTGGAGATTCAGAGCACGAGCCGAGCCGTCTCTATCGCCGTCGTTATCCACGACGTCGACGCTACGAGAAAGCAGAGAGTCCCACGGGCCAACACGGTCAAGTACGGCAATCATTTAATCGTCCAAGGTGTTTGCATCAGTAACGTTCTACCTCATAGTATTCGTTTATAGGAGCGCAGGATCTTACGGAACCGTGACGATGTGAGAGCGAGCCGTGTACCTCGATAGGTCGCATATGTCGAGCCCGTTAATCCGTACTATGCCTTGTCCATGCATCAACAAAGCCGCAGTAATAAGTTAGGAAGCTCAGCAGCAGCGACGACTTCCCACGTGCTGTACGGCCAAGGACGCCAACTGTCGCTACCGCTGCGATGAAAGCGTTGACATCTCTCAGCGCAGCGCCGACTCGTTGTACCGCGCCGCAAAGTTTGAGAACTTGGAAATTCAACAAATTCTTCTTATGACGCTTGAGTGATCAGACTAAATAACTAGGTAGTTGACTTTAAGTTTGGCTGAATCCACTAAAATTCAAAGTCTTGACATAGGGCGCGCCTTCAGGGACGGCCTCTTTAAAAGGGCACAGATTCTCCATTATCCATCTAGACCCGACGACAGAAACAGAGCCAGAGATAAAGAGTCACAAAAATACACGGTAAAATGAAGACTATCGGCATCATCGGCGGCAGCACCGACATCGCCACCGTCGAGTACTACAAAATCATCAACGCCACGGTGCGGGAGCAGCTCGGCGGCCTGCACACGGGTGAAATCATCATCAACTCGATGGACCTCGCGCGTAGCGCACACTACGTCCGCCACTCTCTTTGGGACGAAGGCGGCGCCTACCTCGCCACCAAGGCGCAGAGCCTCGAGCGCGCCGGCGCCGACTTCCTCCTCGTCGTGTCCAACACGTGGCACCGCGCGTCGCCCGTCTTCATGGCCGGCGTGTCCATACCGCTGCTGCACATTGCGGACCCCACGGCGGCTGCGATCCGCGCTCAGGGCCTGTCCAAGGTGATCTTGCTCGGCACCAAGGCCACGATGGGCACGCCGTACTGGGCGGAGGAGTTTAAGGCGCGCGGCGTTGTGGTGGTGGTGCCCAACGAGGCGGAGCAGACGCTGATTGATGATGTGATTTTTAACGAGCTTAGTTTCTGGCAGTTTAGGGACGAGTCGAGACAGCGGTACTTGGAGATTGTTGATCGGTTGGTGCGGGAAGAGGGCGCGCAAGGCGTCGTCTTGGGGTGTACCGAGATTCCCCTGCTGGTGAGGCAGGAGGATAGGCCTGGCGTGCCCATGTTTGACACGCTGACGCTGCATGCCAAGGCCGCAGCACTGATGGCTGTCAAGGAGGATGTAAAAGTGAAATGATATATCTTGTAGAATAAATGAATAGACAGTTTACGGTGCAGAACTGAATAGAACATGGGTAACTGACAAGTGACAATCAGTCCCCAGTGGACGTGATGCGGGACTTTGAGCTACGTGATGCCTCTGAGTCGATGTTCCTTTATCCATGCCAGCGGTTTACCTTCGGCCTGAGCTACTTGCAATAAAAACAGTCACTGAATACAGCGCATCAACGGGGCCGTTCCAACCCTCGCGGTCTCGACCGTACCAACGAGCAACAGTCACTTTCTAGCCACCCTGTAGTGCAGTTTAGCATGTATTTATTTCCTAACTAGGGGCAATGAAACTGTCAAATGTTAAAAGACGCCGCCCAAAAGGGAAATAGCGCATGGTTGCGACTTGACTCACTGGTGAGTGACTCATTGGGCGGGCTGCGCCATCACCACCACCAGTGCTTGCTCAGCAAAGCGAGGCTGTCCGTTGCGATGAGGAGATGAAGTGTTACATCTCAAAAATTACCTATAAAGAATCGTTTCCTCTTGCACCTCCCTCATTTCCCTCTTCTCCAGCTACACGACATCTTTCCGTTGCACTCTGGCCCCCTCGTCCGTCAATGACCTCGAACCCCCGCGTCAACCAACACCACCCCAGCCCACCCGTCCGGCCAACCATGGAGACACTTCCACCCTCCGCCACCGAGAGCCGCCATCTCCCCCACGCCCGCAACCCCGCCAAATCCTCCTCCGACCCGTGGGAGTCGCGCCGGCACCTGATCCGCGCCGTTGCCAAGAAGCTCGCCGCGGCCGACGACCCGCTGACCTGCCGGCGCCTGGGCTTCGCGTGCGCCCTCGACGGGGGTCTCGCGGCCGACGCCGAGACGCCGTGTCCCGCGCGGGCCGGCAAGCACGCCAGCGTGCGCACGCACCACTTTGAGGCCCAACTGCAGGGCCGGGGGGCGGCCAGCGAGGAGATGCTACCCGGCGGGCGGCGCGTCGCGGCGGCAGCCAGCGCCACCTCGCATCGGCACCGCCGCCCGTTCAAGCGCGACCGCCGCTACTACACCCCGGCCGAGCTCGACGACGACGTGCGGCTCGCCAAGAGCAGCGCGGTGGTGGTGCGCATGCCCGACAACCGCCGGGCGGTGCGGACGGAGGCAGCGCACGAGGTGGCGGACAGGGCGCAGGTCGCCGCGCTGTACGAAACGGGCCTGCTGTACCGGGATGCCAGCCCGCGCGACCGCCGGCTGACGCTCGACAACATCCCGCACGACGAGCCAATGTACGTGGTGCGCACGGCCAAGCCGCGGCTGCGGAAGCACGGCCAAGACGCGCTGGGCGGCGGCGGCGGTCTGCATCTGTCCTTTTCGGACCTGGGCGACGAGGAGAGCCTCGTGCAGTACGTCATGGCGCTGACGGCGTCCGAGGCGGATGCGGCCGGCGCCAGCTCGACGCTCAGCTCGCCGACGCTGCGTGCGATGCAGGAAATGGACGATGCTTCGTTGGAGACGTGGGTGGTGCTCGACCGCGAGAGCCTCTGAGTCACCTTCTTGGTCATGTCCTCGGCGTTGAACCCCCTTCTGGACTTTTGGATTGAACACAGTATTGCATAGCGGGCTCTTCATCTCCCGGCGTTGTCACGGACCGGGAAAAGTGGCCAGTTCGGCAACGCGGCAGACTTGATCGCCGCTTCGTTGTTCATCAAACATGGATGGATTTCTTCTCAAAACATTTCGCATTCCGTACAAGTTTGTAACCACCAGCGAGGACGTCATATTCATGTAGCTAATCTAATGTACATTGCTCGCAAGTACCATATGTCCCTTTTTTTTTCCTTGATTAATTTCTTTCTTGATTTTACTGCTTATTTCTGGGGCTCCTCGGCAACGTAGTGCAGGTAAGCGCCGAGCAGCTTGATGCCCTCAATATAGTTGCGCTTGTCGAGCTTCTCGTTGATGGAGTGAGCGCCGTCAGTGGAGCTACCCATGGGCAGCAACAGGACATTCTTGCCAGTAGCCTCCTCAAAGGTGAGAGTGACGGGGATGCTGCCACCCTCGCGGGTAAAGTCGGGCTCGACGCCCCAGACGCGCTCGACAGCCTTGGCGGCGGCGGAAAAGTTCCAGTGCTTGGGCGAGGCAACCCACCACTTGCCGGCGTGCATGCACTCGACCTTGAGAGTGTTCTTGCTGCCGAGCTTGGCAAACTCGTCCTGGACGTACTTGATGACGGCGGCGTTGGTCTTGTCAATGTCCATGTCGGGGACGGTGCGGATGGAGAACTTGCCAATGACCTTGGCGGGGATGACCGTCTTGGCGCCGGGCGAGGCAAAGGCACCCTCGATGCCATGCAGGGACAGGGAGGGGTAGCGCCAGCGGGCCATGAGGGTGGGCTTCTCCGTCTCGTGGATGGTAGTGGTGCTGCCGAGGGACTCGTGCAGGTTCGCCATGGTGAAGGCGATGGACTTGTAGAGGTCCTCCTCGTCAGCGGTGACGGGGGCGACCTGCTCCGAGATGCCGGGGACCAGAATGTTGCCCTTGCTGTCGACAAGGCGGCTGAAGATTTGCGCAATGTCCGTCATGGGCTCGTGGGCCTGGCCGCCAAAGACGCCGCTGTGGAGGTCGGCGGCGGGGCCCGAAACCTCGACCGAGTAGTAGTTGCAGCCGCGCAGGCCGTAGGTGAGGCAGGGCTTCTCGGTGCCGAGCCAGTAGTTGTCCGAGATGCAGATGGCGTCGGTGTCGGCAAAGTACTTGCCGGCCTCGGCGCGAATAAAGTCGTCAAGGCCCTCGGAGCCGTACTCCTCCATGCCCTCGAAACACATGAGCAGGTTGACGGGGAAGTCGAGGCCGGCCTTTTGGTGGGCCTCGATGGCGTTGAGCCAGCCGAGGACAGGGCCCTTGTCGTCGGTCGAGCCGCGGCCAAACATGCGGCCCTTGTCGTCGACGGTGAGGGTAAAGGGCTCCGTAGCCCAGCCGTCGCTCTTGTCGGCGGGCTGGACGTCGTAGTGGCCGTAGACGAGAATGGTGCGCTTGGCGGCGTCGCGGCCGTAGCGGGCGACAACGACGGGCGGCAGCTCGAGGTGCTCCTTGTGCGGCTGCTTGCCGAGCGGGCGCAGCTCAACCTCAGCGCCGAGGGCTTTGAGCTGGTCGGCCAGCCAGTGGCCCATGCGGACCACGTCCGGGCGGCGAGCATCCTCGGCGGAGATGGAGGGGATGGCGACGGCCGCGCGCAGGCGCTCGATGAAGGCGTCGGCGAGGTCGTCGACCTGGGAGAAGAATCCGTCGAGTTGGGGGGCCATGTTGCGTGCCTGGTGCGCGCGGATGGCGTCTGTGAGATGGGAACGGCGGGGTGACGGTGTCGGGAGCGTGGACGCGGAGAGCAACGGGCGGATGGAGGGGTTGCTGGTGGTGATGTTGCGGGGAAGAGGTTGACGACAGCAACGCAGGGCAAGACGTGCAAGTTGAGTGCGGGGCATTTCGCCCTCCCTCTTTTTCTGCTTCTCCTCTGTGGCCGCAGTAACTAAACGAGTGATGCAAGTTTGGATTTCGGTGCAGATGGCGGGGCGGAGACGGTTATTGACGGGTTACACGCCCAATGAGCGACGGCGCGAAATAAACGTCTGACCAACTGTTTTCCAAGTTAGTTAATAATTTATTAGTAAGAAACAAAAGTCCTCTTTTTTTGTACGGAGTCGAGCTCCTCCTTTGGCCCAGAGCGTTGTTACTGTTGCCTGACAGCCTCAGGTCAAACAATGTCCTTTGCCGTCTCCACGCCCCCGCCGCCAACTCATGTTCAGGCAGAACTCATATTCAGGCAGGCGGGGAGGAAAAAGGTGGGAATTATTAAGACGGTGCATATTCAGGGTTATTTATAGTTGGAGAACCAAGACTGATTCCTTGTGACGAGGAGCGGTCTGGTGTGTGTCCCAGTGGCAGCCAGGCGCAAGAGGACAGGGGGCTCCAGTTAGTTATACCCAACTTGTCTTGGTGCCAACGGCTTCTTGCAGCAATGAGGCTTATTATTTATTATTCCGAGTCTGCGGTTTGCGGCTGAGGCTGACTGACATGTCTGAGACGACCAGTTTTGCAGTTTTGCAATGTGGCTGATCTGCTGTTTTGGCTTGCTTGGCCATTGGCCAGGGTCGCCAGCTGGCCAGTGACAGAGCTTGACCGTCGCCAGCTGGCAGCAAACGCAAGTCATTTATTAATAAGAAAAAAAGACACCGCAGCGATCCTTGTCTCCTGCATCTCACATCTCTTGTCCTTCCTCTTTTTTTGCTTCGTCCAGATCGACTTTTGATCCATCGCCCCCTGCATTTTGTCAGGCCCTTGGACACCTTCTCCCTTCTCGCTGTGCTCTTCTTTTTTTCTCGCACTTCTGCCTACCGCTAGACGTCATCGGTCCCCTCCCCACCGTCTCCAACGCCAACCCAATCTGCCGGAAGATCCGTCCAAGACTACCGCACGGAAGCGCAGCATTTCTCGACTTTTTTACTTTTTTACTTTTTTATTTTTGTACGTGCGAGCTTGTTTCCCTGTGTCCACCCACTCCCTTTCCCTTTTTTTGCCGGCCTCCCGTCTCCCGACTAGGCGGCACAGGCTGTGCCGGGCGCGCGCTGCTCCAGTTGTCCACGTATACGCGCAGCATGACGGAAGCTCCCTCGTGTGTGCTTGCTTGGCCCTTTTGCCACGCCGTGCGACTCGATCCGTGCTGGCCGCCGGCGCTTGGTTGCCAATGGCTTTGGTACCAACTTTGGTGTCTTTTGCGTGCTTCAGCTGCCCTGATGCCGCTAGTCAGGACAATGTAGTTGGCGGCCAAGCGCAGCATTCTTGGAGTTGCATGTTGCATGCCTGTCCATCAACCCAGTCAAGCACTGCCCCCCCCGTCCATTGTTGCTAGTCATCCGCCTGTCTGACCTATTTGCCGTGTCTCTTTTTATTTTAGGGAGTCTTGCTTTCTTCGATTTCTGTCTCCTATTATATCTGTCATTTTGCTTGAGCCTTTTTTGCTATATGTTTTACTGCATAGAAGCATAGAGGCTGGTCATAGTCACCCATCATGACCTCGAGTAAGTTTTGGCGAGCAGATACGCTCCATTCTTCTTTTTCTCTTTCTCCTGCGAAAAGACAACAACTGCCTCCCTCACCCGCCGAGTCCGAAAGCCCGACGAAATCACCTCGTCGCAAACACAGCTACGACCGTTTCCCTCGTCGAGAAAGCGACTTGCCCGTACCAGCGAGCCATGCTGTGAAACATCGAAACTACCACGACATTGCTAGAGAACCGCCATCGCCATCGGCCCCCAGAAATGCTCATAATAAATCTCGAAAATGGGGCGAGCGCCTCTCTTCACTGCTTCCCGTGCTCACATCTTCCTCACCAGCAACAGATTTCTCCTCGGCCAGCCTTCGACGAAAGCCGGTTGCGCTCGCCGAACACGGCAAGGTCTCACCTGACACAACACCACCCCCTCCACCGTATAAAGAATACGATTCGAAACATTCGCCGCCCGAGGGTCCTCTTGATACACCAATCACTCCCGATCACGAGCTACGTCTATCGTCACCTACTCTCTTTGGAGACGAGTTTTTCCTGGGCAGCAGCAACTCGCTGCCCTCCCCACAAACCGGACTACCTCAGAGCCTCACTATGCCTATCCTCCGGACCGAGATTCCGCACAGCGCCTTGGGTATCGACGAGCCGCCCCAGATAGCTAGCGCCACCGATTTCCTCGCTCTGTCGAGCTCCGAAGCTCAACTGCCGCCCTTGCAAGAAGTCGCTTCTCAGGAGCCCCCCTCCCGAGATGGCTCTCCCGAAGCCACGAGCGAGCTTCGCGGCCCTCGGAAGTTGCGGAAGGGCTCGGACAGCCAGATCAGACCTCGCGCAAACTCATACCAGGCCGGCCCGTCGATCCCCGTGCCTGGCATCAAAGCCAGTGCAACGATGCCCCTTTCTGAAGTACGTGGCAGGAGTGTCTCGTCCCATCCCACCCTCGCGGTAACGGAGATTGGCGCACCACCTTCCATGCCACCCCCTCCTGTCCCTCGACCTGTTTCGCGAGCAGCGTCGCCAAGGCTCGCGAATCACAGTCCAAATCGAGGCCGCATTCGCAGGAGTTGGATGCCTGGTGGTCGGTCCAGATCAAATTCTGTCGAGGTCTCATCGCCAAACGCTAAAATGCAAGCTTGGATCATGACTGAAGAAAGCACATCCGAATACAATTCATCATTCCTGAGAAACGCAGAAAAGGTAAAGTCTGACGAGATGGTCAAAGCACATTGCTATATTAACATCTGCCTTGGTAGGTCCCAGAGTTGTGGAATGAAAGCGGGGAAGTGCTCGTCTACCTGTATCCCAGAGGCAGTGGCTGCGGACCCTGCTTTAAAGTGCCTGAGTTCACCGTCAGTTCGTCATATCTTTTCAACGAGCTACTAGCTTCGGAATCGTCCTCCTCGATCGGTCACCGATCCAGGAGCTTTGGGGGCAGAGATAGCTTGTCTGTCGATGATGCTGGTCGCCTACCTTTACCGTCAATGGTACAATCCGATGAATCTTCCAGTGAGCTGAAACTGTACCTACCAGTGGCGCGTCCTTCGGCTTCAACACATCTGGTCGCACCTGGGCAGGGTGGTGACAATGAACTTGACCGCCTCATTGCTATCCGCAACTTGTTTGCGTTCCTCACAGGCCAGCCTCTGGTGGGCACTAGATCACGATCAACCGTCTTTTTGGCCTTTTTGGACATTGCAAACCTTTTGGAGGAATATAGCTTCGCTGGAATCGATAGCGCCGGGTTCGGGAATGCTGTTGATATGAGCTTTGGATTCTATTGCGACTTCCTAGGCTTGTCTGACTGTAGACACAGCCGCGAAAAGACGGTTGAGGCTCTCATTCTTGGCGAGCGTATGAGAAACGTTGAACTATATAATGAAGCATTTGCTCATGCGGCTGGCAAATACTCCGCCATCATCGATCTTCGCCTTCCTCTGTTCGACAAAATTTCACCACAGACCCGGCAACGTCTTGAACGAGCACACATTGACCTGGTACACCGGCAGCACAATGTCAACGATCATCTCGAACAATTCGAATTTCCGTCGATATTTTCGGGCATCGCCAACTCGACTTCGATTGCGGAGATGCGGAGTATTCGATTCAAATCTTGGCGAAATTCATTTACGCGAATGCGATCATTCATGCTCAGCTACTACAAATCTACATTCGGCAGCTGGCCACCCAAGGCGAGCAGTAAGAAGAACCCTTTTATGGAAAGTGGTTTGAACCGACTAGTCTTGAAGATGCTCTACTCGGACATGTGTGCCTTGTACGACTTGCTTGTGGATAGAACCGACTTGACGTCCAGAGTGATGGATCATACGCCAGAGCTGTCGTCTGACCCCGAAAAGACGACAAGATCGGCCATTCGGAACATTATGTCTGAATACGATCGGTCAAGGCCGCCTGTGCTACCCCCGATTCCATTCGACTTGCCTCAGCTGCCGACAGTCCAATCGATTCACGAGACGTACGCCAACTTGTCTGCAAAGGAGCAAGCGAAATTCGACAAGAAGCTCAAAGAGCACGAGCTACTTCTCATTCTAAACAAGGCTTACAACTACGACACCAATAGCATCAAGCTCCCTTTCCTGGACCAGTTCAAGGAATTTGAGAGCCGAGAGGCAAAGGGCAAGATGAAGCAGGACATTATTGATCAGCGAATCGGCTACTGGATTTTCCTGTATGCCGTCCTTCAGTCGCTTCCTATGCTTGTTGTTGATGCGCCAGGCCTCAAGCATACGGAGGGAACGGAATACTTTTTGTGCCAGCCTCCCATGGGACAACCGCCGTGGGCGGAGGACGGCCAGGTGCGCAAGATGTGGTACGAGGTAGCGGGTGGTGGCGGAGTGGTTGAGCTTTCTGCCGATGCTGTCATGTACAGTGTGGAAGCCACGTACCACCGCAGCCATTGTTGGCTTGCCGCAAAGCAGTGGGAGGGATTGGATGGAGCGGATCAGGCACCCCCAGAGCAAGTCATGTCCCCCCTCCAACCGCCACGAGGGATTTTCGAGGGCGGCGACGGCATCCTCGGAAGCTCGCCTCCAATGGCTGGTCCTAGTACACCGTCGCCGCCTCTGGGGACGCCACCACTGGCAGCGCGGCCGCGCAACCTGTCGCCAGGTCGTTCTCGTGCAAACAGTGCCTTCCGGTCGAGCATTGCCATTGGCCTGGAACCTCTGCTGATGGACCCGCCAGCCAACTTATTTAGCCCGCACCAAAGAAGCAGCTCACTTGGGCCGCGTCCTCCCAGTGCGTACATGAGCAGTCGCAGCATTTCTGGCTCCAACCTGGCGGGCATGAGCACGCCACGATCAGGCACGCCTAGCACGCTGGCGGGCACTTCTGGAGCGACGTTTGATGATATCCTTGCTGGAGGAACGAGTGAAAAGACCAAGGGCAAGGAGAAGGAGAAGGAAAAGGAAAAGAAGGCGCCCAAGAAGAAGGGCTTCTTTTTCTAAGCGAGGACGACTTGATTGGATATTTGGTTTTAATTTTCCGTATCTGGACATAATTCTTTCATCTAGTAGAACATATAGCATAGCATATTTGGATACTTTGACTCAGCGCGGGAACAGCATTTTATTTTCCATGCTAGAGGGATTTCGACTCTGAAATATTGCTCTGGACCCATATCATCTCTACATGCATGTCGTTTCACATGATATGGCTTGGACGTGTTGGACTCGTTGAGGATGAAGAAACAACAGCGGCCAGTGCTGTCCATTATACGCTAAAAACAATAAAACTAGGACTGATGGTATCTTGTGGCGATTCGGCCAATGGGATGGGGTGCAGTTTTGGTCCACACTGCAGAGCCAGTGCTCGTATTGCTCTGCGAGTACCTTTTCTAACGTTAAACCATGGGTATTCTTAATTCTGGAATTGTACTTTTCTCCTTGTTCGTCATAGCCGTACGCGCGGCGTGGCGTATATCTTCTCCCTTATCGAGTCGTGGGCGTACCCACCGCGGACGCTCGGCGTGCCACCACGATTCCTTTTCCTTGCGGTCGGCGACGACGGCGCCCTCGCGCCAGTTCCAGCTGCCGGTGCAGCCAAGCGCAGCCACGCCGTCGTCGTCCTCCTCCTCGGGCGGCGCGGCAGCCAGGTCCGGGACGTCGACGAGGCCGCCGCGCGCGTCGGACGAGCCCGGGTCGGGCTCGAGGCAGTACCGCACGGGGCTGTCGACGGTGCCCATGTAGCCACCGAGGCCGAATTCCTCCACCATGCCGCCCTCGTCCGAGTGCACCTGCACGCGGAAGCGAAACCGCGGCCGCGCGTCCTCCAGGCGGGCCTGCGCCGCGATACGAGCCCCGCGCAGATCGGTGGCGTGCGGCGGCGGCACCCCCGTCAACGAACTGCTGCTGCCGGTCGGGAGCGACGTTGCCGTCGCCGACTTGGGCAGGCCGCCAAACCGAGACGCCGGCAGCAGCCCACCAGAGTCGACGCTGCCGCTCCTGCGCTGCTGCTGTCCGTGGCTGCTGCCGCTGCGCCCCCCGTTGGCCCAGATACGGTCCGCCGACGTCGCGATGCTCTCCCGCGGCCGGCACAGCTGCTGGAAGATGCCCTCGGGGTCGTTCGGCGCGCGGAGCGTGCGCAGCGCCGGGAACCCGCCAGCCGCGATGCTGCGCGCCAGGATGTCGTCGGCGTCGCTGACGCCCGCCGCCACCACGTCCCAGTGCAGCCGCACGAGCGTACGGCTCGCCAGGTACGGCATCATCCACAGCGCAAACGCGCCGCCGGCGCCGCCCTCGTCGCGCGGCATCAGCGGCGCAACGTGCT